AAACACTTAATCCTTTCCTATCATTAATCTCATTATATCTATTGTACATTTCACTCTTATATATGTATTTCTATCCTTCACCTCCGTGATCCCTTATTCGAGCCACTTTTTATATTTTCTGTCCAAAATTTCATTTCCTCTTTTGGCGGTAACTTTCAATCCTTCTTTATTAATCCTTTTTCAATAAATTTTCTCCAGACATCATCAAAATCATTTTCCCTCCATATTCCTCCCTTGAAAAGTCATTTACATGCCAATTTATCATTTATTGCCAATTTCCATAATTCCTTACACCACTTTTCAATTTGTATATTTATTTCCCTTTTCCAATTCCATGCTATAAACAACCTTGCTACTGTTAGAAAATTAAATATTGCATCTTTTCCTCTTTTTTAGCTGTTTGTTGTTACATAACGATAACAAAGCAATACTAGGATTTCTGTCTTATTTTATATTCATAAAATTCTACCTCTCTAAAAACTGTTCCCCAAAGTTCACTTACATGTTTAAATTGCCACCACATATGTATATACGTTCCTACTTCTTGGCATCCTCTCCAACAGTTTTTTTTGAGTACTTTTATATATTTATATTTGCTATTTTTACTTGTGTTAGATACCATTTCCATATCAATCTATAATAGTTTTCTTTAACTTGCATTGATAAGTTTTTCAAATGTCTTTGTTCCCATAAGAGTTTAATTTTTCTTACTGTTGAACATGGCCAACAAAAATAATGTCTTTAAGCAGAAGGTACAAACATTGATCATTAGAAATCTGTTAATTCTGACTACAGCTGATCTACTGAATGAATGGGACTCTGAAAAATTGACACTCACAAAATTTTGCCATTTCAATCTCTCACTATTTTGACTGAGATGAACAAATTGATTTCGGCCTGAAGATAGATAGATAGATAGATAGATAGATAGATAGATAGATAGATAGATAGATAGATAGATAGATATACAAAAATTTGAAATAACAATTAACTCCTGGTACCATAGATACCTGCAGCTTTCACTGAGCTCATACACTGTTTACAATTTTAATCTATTTAGTCAAATAAGTGAGTTAAATCTAACCTTCAAAGTCTCATCATTGCCTCCTATGTCCTCAAATTTCACTGAAGAAGTCCGCAGTTCCACACCTTTTGATTTAACTGGAAGAAAAGTTAAATTTATTATGAGAAGAAAGCTATCTCACCCAATCTATTCAACTTGTATGTAGAACACATCATGTGATGTGTGGGCTTGACGAATCCAAGGCTGGAGTTAAAATTGCTGGAAGAAACATTAACAACCTTAGATATGCAGATTATACCACTTTGATGGCTGAAAGCGAGGAGAAGCTGAAGAGCCTTCTAACCAAAATGAAATAAGAAAGTACAAAAGCTGGCTTGCATAAAAAAAACAAGATTATGGCAACAAGACTGATTGATAAGTGGCAAACAGAGGGAAAACGTGGAGGCAGTGACAGACTTTGTATATCTAGGCACAAAGATCACTGCAGACGCAGACTGCAACCAGGAAATCAGAAGATGTTTACTTCTTGGGAGGAGAACAATGACCAATCTCGATAAAACAGTGAAGGGTAGAGACATCACAGTGGTAACGAAGGTCCACATAGTTAAAGCAATGGTATTCCCCGTAGTAACCTACGGATGTGAGAGCTGGACCAAAAGAAAGGCTGAGCGAAGGAAGATAGACACTTTTGAACTGTGGTGTTGGAGGAAAATTCTGAAAGTGCCTTGGACCACGAGAATATCAAACCAGTCCACACTCCAGGAAATAAAGCCTGACTGTTCATTGGAGGGAAGGATATTAGAGACAAAGATGAAGTACTTTGGCCACATAATGAGAAGACAGGAAAGCTTGGAGAAGACAATGATGTTGGGGAAAATGGAAGGAAAAAGGAAGAGGGGCGGACCAAGGGCAAGATGGATGGATAGCATCCTTGACTTTGAAGGAGCTCTGGTGTGGGCTAGCCCATGAGGTCATGAAGAGTTGGAAGCGACTGAACAAATAAACAACAACAGAACGAAAGTTGTTCTGCTGTTCCCAAACATCAGAGAAAACACAAACAACCGTTTCAGAAAAGACTGAGCAGTAAGAACTGTTGTGACTTCAAAAATGACTGCAGTATCAGTAATACTCTTAAAATGTTAGAACTAACTTTCCATCAAAGTACAGACAAGCACTCTTACCTTTCTGTTTCCTCAGAGCGGACTGTATTTCTTCTTCTACATCCTGAAATTCTTCTTTTCTCCTTTTACTTCGCCTGTTTCTGTTTTTCGTTGATGGAGTCTCCAGGAAAGAAACATCTTTGGCATTCTACAACACAAATTGTTCAATCGGGAAAAACGGGCTTTACTGATACAATGTATGCAGTAAACTATTTAGAAAGAAAAATAATGTACAACAATGCAATGTGTTTAATTTTTACACCCTTGTTTGAACAATCATTGCTCAGAAAAAATAATACACTTTAACCTTATTATTGGGGCAAGCATGGTGGATGGATTGGCTGAAACCCTTACATAGTTTAAAGCAGCTGGACTACTGTGGAGTGGTTGGGAGGGTGTCACTTTAAACTAGGAGGCTATACAATCCCTCCTGGTAAGAACAGTGATGATGAATCACTTCCAGCTCTGGAAATTGGCTGAAATGTGGCAGGTTTTCCTAATTTGTGAGGAAAGAGGAAAATAAGGGGATGCAATAAGGGTTTGGGCTCTTTTTCTGGGATTTTTCAGCCAAAAAGGAATTAAATGGGGGAAGGAGTTCCCTAAAATAAGACCGAAAGGGATGCATGTGGCCTAAAAGTTGGGCTTTCTCCACCTGGTTTACAGAATCTTGGGAATACTGCACAGCTCTTGGGCTGCTAAATCATTGCTCTCCATATTGAAAAATAGTAAAATAATTTTTTAATTTGTGATGGATTAATGGGCGGGGAGAACTGTTACTTATTTGAGCTCTTATGATGATTAGCTGGTAAAAGCCTTAGAATTTAGCTTGTCTAAACACACAGTTTCTAAAACAAATTGTGATTTTTAAAATTATTTATTTATATATTTTATTGCTTTAGAAATAAAACAGGAAAGATTAGGATTGCCACACTAATGTTAAATAGTTACCTCTGTCACCTGTTTGACACCATCACTCTCTTCTTCTTCACAAAGATCGATAAAAAAGTCTTTCTCTTTTCTGCTTGGGTTTTTATCAATAAACCATCCACCTTCTGAAATCCTTGTCTCAGATGATACTTGTGGAAGAACTGCATTTGAGCCAGGCATCACTGTTTGTGAAGGTGTGCTGCACTTTGTCAGCCCATTTTTAGCAGATTCTGGAAGACAGTCTGGATTTCCTTTCCGGTACAAGTCCAATAAAGATGTGTTCATGTGATTTGAGGGCTAAAGGATGTAATATTTATAGAAAAGTCAATGGAAAAATCAATTTGCAAAACTACAACTATTTTATTAATCACTTTTGAGTAAAGTGTCAGAAATATTGAATATTAAGTAGGTATCTGTTGGGGGTGTTTTGGATATGATTTTCCTGCTACTTGGAAGGGGGTTGGACTGGATGGCCTACGAAGTCTCTTCCAACTCAAGGATTCTATGACTCTATGATTCTATGAGTCAAGAACTGAAAGGGTGAAATGGTCTCAACAAAAGCAGCAGTTTAATATAAGTAGGTGTGCTTGTAGCTTAGTAGCCCTCAGTCTGCGAGAGGTCTCTGTGGAAGAAGGGGCTCAGTGTATTAATAGGCCTCAGTGTTAATAGGCCTCAGTGTATGAGAGGCATCAGTTTGAGAGAGCCCTCAGTGTGAGAAGGCTTCAGTGGGAGAAAGGCCTCAGTGTGAGGTAGGCCTCAGTTTGCATAAACCTGGTGTGGGAAACTTAGGTGAGAGAAGCCCCAGGTTGAAGGTCATCATGTGTAAGGCTGCTGCTGTGTGTAAAAAGCTACTGTGTGAAGCTCCTGTGTAACTTTGGTGTGAGAGGAGACTCTGTGAGAGTGAAGTTGTTTATCTGCGTAAGAAAGAAGCCCAGCATGGAAGCAAAGAAGGAAGTATAAAGAACTGTGTACTATTCTTGTAAATGGTACAACCATATTATTTTGCTATAAAGGAAAGCCTCCTATGGAAGAGATAACATCGGTCTCTGTGTTTTTGTCCTTTTCCTCACTTTGGGCTACTGGTGCTGGGTCACGCTGCAGCTAAGTTACTCTGCTACACATTTATGAGGAGGGTCTTTTGTTAATAAGCCCACTCACCCAACAAAGTTTATGAAAAACTGCAAATATCTTGGGGAGAAATGGAATGTTGCCACTGTGGTTGGGGGGGGGAGGGGTCATAGTGGTTACCAAGGCCTCCTTTGCACTCCCCCCAGTTTTTTCTCCATCTACTCTCGAATTCATCCTACCTTTTCTTTTCCTGTTGCTGTGTCCTGTCTATTTCCACTGGGAAAAGGAAAGTAGGAATTTGGCTCCTTTCTTTCTATTCATGCCCAGTAGCTGGCTGCCTTCCTCCCCAAGCATGAAAAAAGCAGCCAGAAACCACACAGAGGGAGAAAAAAAACAGAAAGAACTATACATCCATTTCTTTTTCCCTTTTGTGCTTGCTGGCCACCTTTCTAGCTACACTGGTCACAGGAAAAGATGGTTGAAACCACTCAGGGGTAGAGAAGAACTATGGGGTGCACCCCCACCCCCAGTGTCTCGGGCTCAAAGGAGGAAGTGAGCCAAAAACCACTCAAGGGGAGAAACAAATGGGTCTGTAGTTCTTTCCTTCCTTTCTCCCTCTTCCTGGTTGCTAGCTGCTTTTGTCATGCCCAGGGTAGGAAAGCAGCCAGCTTCCACACAGGAGGATGAAGGAAGGAAAGAATTACAGACTATGTCCTTTCTTCCCATGTGCTTGCTGGCTTCTTTCCGATCTTTGGGCATGAGAAAAGCTGAGAGAAATTGCTCAGAGGGAGAAAGGAAGATTCATCTGTGTTTGCCGTCACCCCCCATATTTGCCACTTGCCTCTTTACATGCCAGGGCACCCAATTTCTGAGCAGCAGAAAACAAGCTTGTTCCCCCCTCAAGATGACATTCTTTCAAATCTCTGAACATGGGTTTTGTGTGTCTTTTCAATCTTCTTATCGACAAGCTAAACATACCTAGCTTCCTAATCTATTCTTCTTAGGTCTTAGCTTCCTGACATTTTTACCATTTTAGTCATTCTTTTCTGGACATGTTTCAACTTGTTCAGAAGTGTTTGGTAATTATATAGGTAAGACGACTGACAGTAATGCATAACAGATGACGTGTATTCGTTCACCCACATGGCCAATAAATAGGACTGCCATTTGCTGTATAAGCAGCTGGACTATGTGACTTGCTCTTAAAATGATTAGAAGGCCAGTGGCTGGATTATATCAGAATCACATCTATTATTATGTCTGACTTGTTAGCACAGGTCCTTCTTTTGAAAACTTGAAATGAGAACGCGTGAGATTAAATTTTGTTGGACTACAGCTCACAGTATACCAGGCTGGGCCGCTCAGAGGCTAACAAGCTCTGAAAGGCTGCCGATTCCTAAACCCTGGTTTAGAGATGAAACTATCAAGGCATTTGATGGCAAGAACTCCATATACATTTTGACATGTTCAATCTACAATGGCACTGTGTCCCAGCTGTTGGCCAGTACAGATTTAAATGTACACACTTCTGTATATACTTGATTTTAGACCTATAGCTAATATTCAGAACAAATAATAGTAGGTGAATTTTACTAGAATTGCCACAGGGAGCACACTTACAGGTAGTTCTGTCTCAGTGTCGGAGGTATCCAAGCAGCTTTCTGAATCACTTTAGAAAAAAGAGAAGTTTAACTACAGTTTCAAAACTAAATTCAACACTTGAAGGAAACAACAAATCATTTAACTTAAGTATATCTCTTGGAAGAAAGCCATGAGACTATGATTGATAAAATGCCCCACATCAAAGTATGTTATTTAAAATGGAACCAATCTGCCTGTACATATTCTTTCCCCCTGCCAACAAAGTTGAGCTCAGTACATACAATACAGAAATTAGATCTGAAAAAAACCCTGAATGCACACACCCATTTAAATTACTACTGGGAGGATGCCTGGCCTAGAAAATATCCAGTTTGTAACCACAGACTGATTATAGCTATTGGGGCTGAAACAGGGGGAAATGAGTTAATAGCTGCTTAAGGAAGGAGGCGGTAAACATCTAAATGTTGTCTCACAGTTGTTGACAACTGCTCCCGCAAGAGCACTTTTTCCTCTTCAACTCCCCAAATCTCCAAGGCTTCAAAACTCTCCAAAGCAGATTTTGAGCTGCAGGAAACAAGGAATACCATCTTCCCTCTTTTACTAACAGACCTTGTTATCTTGGCAGGTACAGTTAACTATTTATGACACAGATATTACTCATTTTTGTGTGTGTAAAGCAATCACACTTGGTAAGTTATCCAAACATACTTTTCCTCTCCTGTGTGTCTTGCTTTCTTAGCCAGATGTTCATCCTCCAGAGCTGCAAAATCCTCAGTCTTCAACTCATCATTGATGAGCCTAAAAACTAAGGATAAAAAAATACAGATAAAGATCTGAAACCTATTGGTAGTTCCAACTAGAGCAGACCTGCTAAATTAATTGTTCAATAGTAAATCAACACTTATGTAAATTCTGTGGATACAATAGGTAAATTCTTTTTTGGGATTACGAAAAGGATTCGGGTTGAAATAACAGAGTTAACCTATAACCTTCAGAGTTATAGACTTCCAACAGGCAATTTGGTAAATAGCGAAGGGTTGTAAGAGTTGTAGTTTAAAATATCTGGAGGTCCAAGACATTCCCGTGGTCTAAAATGTTAAGAATGCCCCAACAGACACAGACACAGACACACTTCCATTATGCAACTAGTACAACCAAATAACAATTAAGAACAAGAACAATATAAAATTTGTTACCTGCCTTGAGGCAAGGGTACAACATAATTAAAATCTAAACACATAATACAAGTGATGTGTGTGTCTGTGTGTCGCTGGACAGCACCGACACGGACACATCCCTTGTCAGTGTAGAGACAGAGATCAACCACTAAGATGATCATAGCGGTCTCAACTTCGTATCCTGCTCTGAAGCCGGTTTGAAATGGATCAAGACTACCTGGAGTTGGAACACAACTCCCTTTTCAACCACTAGAGCACTTCAAATACTAGAAATGCTCTGCAGAGCACAAACATATTCATGTTTATTATGGTGAAAAATCAAATTCAAACACATTGCCCTGAAAAAGACTGTAATTAAGGGATAAAACTAGCAGGACTCAAGTTAGTAGGCATAAATATATAAATATGACTTGACTGAAACCCGGATAACCTATGATGTAATGACTTGATAATAATAACACTCACCCTTCTCAACCTGTATTCTAAAGGCATTTCTTTTTCGTCGCCCATAATCAGCACTGAAAAATAATTTTTAAAAATAGCATTTCTCATAAGAATGTGTTTTGCACATACTACATCCAGATGGAAACTCTATAAGAAAAAAAAATCCTAACATAGAGTTATTAAAGTCAAAGATAGATTACCATATACAGTTAGCCCTCAATACTTACAGGTCTGACTTTCACAATTTTTTATTATTTATAATTAAAATTTTCTTTCTGAGAATCTCTAGTATTATTATATGGCCAATTCCCCCCAGAAGTTGACCACACTAATGCTGGATATTCTAAAGATTCCTTGAGAAAACAACTTTGGGAATTTCTAACTTTCTCCAGTGTGGAAGTTAGTCACAGATTCATGCTGGAGAACCTAAAGATTTATAGAGAGGTATTATCTCAGGTTAAAATTGATTTTTATACACATTTTTCGCACTAACCTGAGAATGTGGAGGACTGACTATATACTTGTATATTTGAGGGTAGGTTTTAGGGCCAAAATTATGGATTTTGGTAAGTTGATGATCATTCCATAGAGTATAGCTTGACATGCCATGCACACCAGACTGCTGTATGTTATTCTTTCTCTCTCATAAGAAAATAAAAGAAATATATGTCTTACCTGTATGTTTTCTGTAGATCTGCAGCTAAAATTCTGATGTCAACATACTGGCCACATTTATTACTAGTCAGGTACTGCAATTTTAAATAATGCATAAACAAAATAGTTAAGCACATTTATCTGCAAGCAAGTGCAATCTATTAACTTTCCTCCCCAAACTTACAACTTACAGAAAGTCAAAGCAAATCTAGACACAGAAGATTCCCACACTGTTTTTTTATGCACATGGATGAAAGAAGAGCAGAAATGGAATAACTAAGAAGTAACACACTAAGGTTTTCAACCAGTAAGTGTTATGTCGGAAATGGTTCCAGCTCACTGGTGAAAGGGTTGTGCTTTTTCTTGACAGCCTTACAACGAGGGTGAAAACACTTCACCTTTGGATGCTTCCTTGGAAGCAAATCCAAACACTGTAGGGAATGCTGTGGATGTAGCATATCTTGATTTCAGTAAGTCTTTTAACAAAGTCCCCCATGACCTTCTTGCAAACAAACTAGTCCAGTGTTTCTCAACCTAGGGGTTGGGACCCCTGGAGGGGTCACCAAAGACCTTCAGAAAACAGTATTTTCTGTTGGTCATGGAGGTTCTGTGTGGGGAGTTTGGTCCAATTATATCATTGGTAGGTTCAGAATGCTCTTTGATTGTAGGTGAACTATAAATCCCAGCAACTACAACTCCCAAATGTCAAGGTCTATTTTCCCCAAACTCCACAGTGTTCACATTTGGGCATATTGAGTATCCATGCCAAGTTTGGCCCAGATCCATCATTGTTTGAGTTCACAGTGCTCTCTGGATGTAGATGAACTACACCTCCAAAACTCAAGGTCAATGCCCACCAAACCCTTCCAGTATTTTCTGTTGGTCGTGGGAGTTCTGTGTGCCAAGTTTGACTCAATTCCATTGCTGGTCGAATTCAGAATGCTCTTTGATTGTAGGTGGACTATAAATCCCAGCAACTACAACTCCCAAATGACAAAATCAGTCCCTCCTCAACCCCACCAGTATTAAAATTTGGGTATATTGGATATTTGTGCCAAATTTGGTCCAGTGAATGAAAATACATCCTGCATACCAGATATTTACATTACGATTCATAACAGGAGCAAAATGACAGTTATGAAGTAGCAAAAAAAATAATTTTATGGTGGGGAGGGGGGGTCACCATAACATGAGGAAGTGTATTAAGGGGTTGTGGCGTTAGGAAGGTTGAGAACCACTGAACTAGTGAAATGTGGGCTAGGCCATACTACTATTAGGTGGACCTGTAATTGGTTAAGGAACCAAACCCAAAGGGTGCTCAACAACTGTTCCTCGTCATCCTAGAAAAAAGTGACTAGTGGAGTGCTGCAGGGTTCATTCCTGAGCCCAGTACTGTTCAACATCTTTATGAATGACTTGGATGAAGGTTTAGAGGGTGTTATCAAGTTTGCAGATGATACCAGTTTAGGAAGGATAGCTAATACTCCAGAGGACAGGATCAAAATTCAAAATGTCATTAACAGATTAGAGAGATGGGCAAAAACTAACAAAATGAAGTTCAATGGGGATAAATGCAAGATACTCCACTTAGGCTTATTTATTTATTTATTTATTTGTCGTGTCAGGGTAACCAGTCAATTATATTACATTTCTAACAGAACAAAGCAAACAAACAGACAAAATACAAAATTTGTGAGTTTGGTAGTTGATTAAATGTCCTTTGACCAGTATCTGGCCACTTGGAGTGCTTCTGGTGTTGCTGCAAGAAGGTCCTCCATTGTGCATGTGGCAGGGCTCAGGTTGCATTGCAGCAGGTGGTCAGTGGTTTGCTCCTCTCCACACTCGCATGTCTAGGATTCCACTTTGTAGCCCCATTTCTGAAGGTTGGCTCTGCATCTCGTGGTGCCAGAGCGCAGTCTGTTCAGCGCCTTCCAGTTCGCCAAGTCCTCTATGTGCTCAGGGGGGAGTCTCTCATTTGGTATCAGCCATTGATTGAGGTTCTGGGTTTGAGCCTGCCACTTTTGGACTCTCGCTTGCTGGGGTGTTCCAGCGAGTGTCTCTGTAGATCTTAGAAAACTATTTCTTGATTTAAGTCGTTGACATGCTGGCTGATACCCAAACAAGGGATGAGCTGGAGATGTCTCTGCCTTGGTCCTTTCACTACTGGCCGCTACTTCCTGGCGGATGTCAGGTGGTGCAATACCGGCTAAGCGGTGTAATTTCTCCAGTGGTGTAGGGCGCAGACACCCCGTGAGCCCCCGGTGCCCCCGGTGGCGCAGTGGGTTAAAGCATTGTGCCAGCAGGACTGAAGACCGACAGGTCGCAGGTTCGAATCCGGGGAGAGGCGGATGAACTCCCTCTATTAGCTCCAGCTCCTCATGCGGGGACATGAGAGAAGCCTCCCACAAGGATGATAAAACATCAAAAATCATCCAGGCGTCCCCTGGGCAACGTCCTTGCAGACGGCCAATTCTCTCACAACAGGAGCAGTTGCTCCTGACACGACAAAAAAAAAAACTGCAAGAGGGAACACATGAGAATACACTGTAGACTCATTAAGAGCCACATCCACTGTTTTAGGTGTGGTGCGATGTGTTCCACACTGGGCATGCGTACTCAGCAGCAGAGTAGCACAGCGCAAGGACAGATGTCTTCACTGTATCTTGTTGTGATCCCCAGGTTGTGCCAGTCAGCTTTCGTATGATATTGTTTCTAGCACCCACTTTTTGCTTGATGTTCAGGCAGTGCTTCTTGTAGGTAAGAGCACGGTCCAGAGTGACTCCCAGGTATTTGGGTGCGCTGCAATGCTCCAGTGGGATTCCTTCCCAGGTGATCTTCAGAGCTCGGGATGCTTCTCTGTTCTTGAGATGAAAGGCACATTTCTGTGTTTTAGATGGGTTGGGGATCAGCTGGTTTTCCCTATAATAGGCAGTAAGAGCACCTAGAGCTTCGGAGAGCTTCTGTTCAACCATTTTTTGTTTACAACTCCCAGAAATCCTAGCCAGTTTACCAGCTGGTAGGATTTCTGGGAGTTGTAGGCCAAAAACATCTGGGGACCCCAGGTTGAGAACCACTGTAGAGCTTCGGAGAGCTTCTGTTCTACCATCTCAAAGCTCCCTGCTTGAGTAGTAATGGCACGATCATCAGCATAGATGAAACTCTCTGTCCCTTCTGGCAGTGGCTGGTCATTTGTGTAGATGTTGAACATGGAAGCACGCTCCCCTGAGGCAGGCTGTTCTTCTGTTTCCGCCATCTGCTTCTCTGGCCCTGGAATTCAACAAAAAAGCTCCTGTTTTGTAGCAGGTTTCCTATGAGGCGGGTGAGGTGGTAGTCCTTTGTGATATTATACATGGGCAGGAGCAGCCAGAAGGCGTGGAGGCTGCTAAGACGGTTGAGCAATGACCCCTCACAAACTAATACCCATGCCAACATAAAGGCAGATCAGATAGCACACCAACTCTTGAAGAATGGGAAACCCAACTTTGCCACCAAAGTAGGAAAGAAACCAATAGCCAGACAACAAGAGATTGAGAACAACAACCTTCATACTAAAGGTAAAGGTAGTCCCCTGACATTAAGTCCAGTCATGTCTGACTCTGGGGTGTGGTGCTCATCTCCATTTCTAAGCCGAAGAGCCATGTTGTCCGTAGACACCTCCAAGGTCATGTGGCCGGCATGACTGCATGGAGCCGTTACCTTCCCGCGGAGCGGTACCTATTGATCTACTCACATTTGCATGTTTTCGAACTGCTAGGTTGGCAGAAGCTAGGGCTGACAGCGGAAGCTCACGCCGCTCCCCGGAATCGAACCTGCGACCTTTCGATCAACAAGCTCAGCAACTCAGTGTTTTAACCCACTGCGCCACCGGGGGCTCCCTTTTCAAACTGCTAGGTTGGCAGAAGCTAGGGCTGACAGCGGAAGGTCACGCCGCTCCCCGGTTTGCCACCAAAGTAGGAAAGAAACCAATAGCCAGACAACCAGAGATTGAGAACAACAACCTTCATGAACCCTTTACATCTACTGAATTGGCTCTCAATAAATGTAAAAATGGCAAAGCAGCTGGCCTGGATGATCTACGGATGGGTTGGGGATTAGCTGGTTTTCCCTGTAATAGGCAGTAAGAGCACCTAGAGCTGAAAAAATGAAATGCAAAGATACAATATGGGTGATGCCTGCCTGGCTCAACAACACTCCATGTGAGAAAGATCTTGGAGTCTTTGTGGACAACAAGTTGAACACAAGCCAACAGTGTGATGCAGCAGCTAAAAATTGTGGGAGTTGCAGTCCAAAACTCCTGGAGGGAGGGCCCCAGCTTAAGTGGCTGAGGGGAAAAAAGAAGGGGCCTGAGGCTGTTAGGAATGGTGGGAGTTGCAGTCCAAAACACCTGGAGGGAGGGCCCACGTTGGCCCATACCTGCCTAAACTGTGGTGGGTTTAAAAAAGAAGCGTCAGGGTTTAGCCTCCGCCTCAGTTCCAGTCCAGGCCCAAATGTGGGCGACCACAGGGAAAGATACACGAGAGGAAGGATACCTGCTTCACCCGCTGCTTGAGCCCGCGGTCTCCCAGGACGAAGTGGCTCCCCGCACGATTCCGCATGGCGGCCCCACAGCGCTCAGCTCCACTCTCACGTCGAAGGCGGAGCCAGGCCTTGCATGAGGCCCTCGGGGGCTGGCCTAAGCGCCTGATTCTCCGGAAAGCAGCCATTGCTGCGGAAAGCTGCCTCCCCAAACTTCAAAAACGAATCCTCGTAATAGACTTTCAGTCCAGCAGGGGGGAAAAACAGAGACATTTCCACAACAGATCCCTATTTGTGCCAAGGCATCCATTTAGACACCTATAACAGCCTTTTAGGTCCCATTGCCCCGCCCCCCCGAATCACGTGGGAAAGAAGAAGGAAAAAAAATCACAGCAACCGAAAGCAAAGAAAAGGGGCGGTTGTTGGCTACGGTGGCCGCCGAAGGATAAAAAAGTGGGGCGTGGTTGACTACGGTGGCCGCCCGGCGAGCGACGGTGGGATGGAGTCGGTGGTGTTCATTTTCTCCCTCATTGATTGCTGCGCCCTGATTTTCCTGTCGGTTTATTTCGTATCCTTCAGAGCCGGTGGAGAGGGGAGGAGAGGAGAGGGCGGCTGGGTGGGGAGGGAGTGCCTTGACAGGGTGGCGGGCTGTGAAGGGGCGTCGTGCCTTGAGGCCTGGTCTTCTCAAGGACTGGCAGGGGAAGGCGAAGGGGCAGGGGCCGCGCCAGGGTTGGGTCCAGTTGGCGCGCCTCTACACCAGGCATGGGCCAACTTGGGCCCTTCATGTGTTTTGGACTGCAACTCCCACCATTCCTAACAGCCTCAGGCCCTTTCCTTTTCCCCTCAGGCGCTTAAGAGGAAAGGAGGGGACCTGAGGCTGTTAGGAATGGTGGGAGTTGCACTCCAAAACACCTGAAGGGAAAGCCCTAGGTTGAGAGGCTGAAAGAGGAAAGGAGGGGACCTGAGGCTGTTAGGAATGGTGGGAGTTGCACTCCAAAACACCTGAAGGGAAAGCCCTAGGTTGAGAGGCTGAAAGGGGAAAGGAGGGGACCTGAGGCTGTTAGGAATGGTGGGAGTTGCACTCCAAAACACCTGAAGGGAAAGCCCTAGGTTGAGAGGATGAAAGGGGAAAGGAAGGGGCCTGAGGCTGTTAGGAATGGTGGGAGTTGAAGTCCAAAACACCTGAAGGGAAAGCCCTAGCTTAAGTGGCTGAGGGGGAAAAGGAAGGGGCCTGAGGCTGTTAGGAATGGTGGGAGTTGCAGTCCAAAACACTTGAAGAGAAAGCCCTAATTTAAGCGGCGGAAGGGGCCTGAGGCTGGGAGGAATGGTGGGAGTTGCCGTCCAAAACACCTGAAGGGAAAGCCCGAGCTTAAGTGGCTTAGGGGGAAAAGGAAGGGACCTGAGGCTGTTCGGAATGGTGGGAGTTGCAGTCCAAAACACCTGAAGGGAAAGCTCTAGCTTAAGAGGCTGAAAGGGAAAGGAAGGGGCCTGAGGCTGTTAGGAATGGTGGGAGTTGAAGTCCAAAACACCTGAAGAGAAAGCCCTAGCTTAAGGGGGGGGGGAGGGAAGGGGCCTGAGGCTATTAGGAATGGTGGGAGTTGAAGAGAAAGCCCTAGCTTAAGCGGCTGAGGGGGGAAAGGAAAGGGCCTGAGGCTGTTAGGAATTGTGGGAATTGAAGTCCAAAACACCTGAAGAGAAAGCCCTAGATTAAGCGGGTGAGGGGGGAAAAAGAAGTGGCCTGAGGCTGTTAGGAATGGTGGGAGTTGCAGTCCAAAACACCTGAAGAGAAAGCCCTAGATTAAGCGGGTGAGGGGGGGAAAGAAGGGGCCTGAGGCTGGGAGGAATGGTGGGAATTGAAGTCCAAAACACCTGAAGAGAAAGCCCTAACTTAAGCAGCTGAGGGGGGAAAACAAAGGGGCCTGAGGCTGTTAGGAATGGTGGGAGCAAAAGTCCAAAACACCTGGAGGGAGGGCTCAACTTCACCCATACCTGCTCTACACTAAACCTTGGCCCACCTGGTATTTTGGTCCTCAACTCTCACCATTCCTAACAGCCATGCCTGGTCCACACTTTTGAATTAATACATTCCGTAACTTCTCGTTCTATAATTCAAGATGGTTCTGGTGTATCATTTATGCTTAGTCTCAGGAGGTCAATGTCCTTTGGCAAAGGCTGGCTCTGGCCCATCCACACTGGGCATTTATTGCAGTTCAAACCCTGAGAGCCAGACAACACTCTCTCCCAAAAGTGGGTGAAAATAAGAAAGAAAGCTCTTTGTGTTTAACAGTAGTCTGCGGTTGGTGTCCTCACCATGCAGTCTCCAAACCGCGTCAAAAGTATGATAGCTGAGAGCCTACAAACCCTATGCTAGTTGCACAACGTCCGTCAGAATTAATAAAGAGAAGTCTGCTTGGAGTGTTTCCAGCTGCTAGGGCTGCTTTCTTCAATGGGTGGGAAGTGTGCTGACGGCCGGGGAAGGTTTTTACAAAGTCCTAGTGTGAACAAGGCGGCAGGGTTAGGGTTGCCATGGCTCAATACTATGGAATTGTGAGGCACCCACACTCTTTGGCAGAGAAGGCTAAAGACCTTATACAACTGCAACTCCCTTGATTGAGAATCATGGGAGTGGTTAACAGCTTTCATTTTAGAGTGTAGATGCACAATTCCTTTTAAAAGGAAACTGAGGTGGTTGTATTCATGGTAGAAAGGCTGTGCTTTGAACAGGCAAGTCACAACAACTCTTTATCTGTTGAAAATGGGAAGGAATAAAGGATTGGGTAGGAATGGGCTGAGGTAACTCGGGGCCTTCCACGCAGCCATATAACCCAGAATATCAAGACAGAAAATCCCACAATATCTGCTTTGAACTGGGTTATCTGAGTCCACATTGCCATATATTCCAGTTCAAAGCAGAAAATTGTGGGATTTTCTTCGGCTGTGTGGAAGGGGCCTCAGTGAGAGCCCTGAAATTCCCCCTTATAAGCAATAGAGATAATTGAACTTCTCTTGATTTTTTACCCAGATCCTAAATTGGTTGAACACAAGATTATTGCCTCTAACCTGGCCGGATCCATTGCCAAGGGAGAGATAAACGAATCAATTTGGCCCATATATCTATATAGAGATAAACGAATGACATGAAATAATGCTTTATGAGTAGCATTTGAGCATGTTTTAAATAAGAAAGCACAGAGAAATCTTTGCCTATGTTGCCTGTTGAAAGCTGTCCTGAGTCCCTCTTTGGAGGTTGGGAAGGACGGGGTATAAATGTTATAAATAAATAAATATGTTGGAGAAGAGGAGGCTTTATTTGACAGCCTTCTTGGTTTCTCTGTTGGGCACCAAGATGGGAGAGAGCACTCCATCTACTTCTGGTAGTTCATTTACTGTCTTACTTGGAATTCTATGCATTGCTTGCATGCAGTTCCCACTCCTCTGTGGCAATCAGGACAAGTTTGGTTGAGTTGGTGGACTTTGGTAATTGCCCAATCACACTAATTCCTGAGAACTATCATGCATTCTGTTTGTGCAATAAATTGTTCAGAAAAGTTCACTGTGGATTAGTACGTTCCCTGTTGCTATAATACTCGAATATAAGATTTTGTTTGTAGTTCAGTGCAATATACTATTAAACAGTGCTTTATAAAATTACTTGATGCAGTATTTTTATTGCAATTTTAAATTAAATATGTGCTGAGACTGCACATGGAAAGTTGTCAGTTTTACATACTATACTATTCCACTTTCTGTTTGTTGTCTTGTGTAACTTTTTTTTAGCAAACTTCACTACTTGGTAAAACATTGATTCATTCTTGATTATGATAGTTTTATGGTAGAAAGTGTGACTACATGAGAAGTAATTCAGATCTCTTGAGATTGTAACACAATCAGTTTAAGTATGGAGTGAGCTATACTACTAGGGTGCTGTTTGTATGGGAGGCATATTCTAGTGTTAGATGTATCTGTTTGGAAGTAAATCATGTTTGATTGTGATTCACTTGTAGGCAAAAGTTACAGCCCATTGTTTTCATCTTATCCACTGCTGTGTACAAACTTCAGTTGTTTTATTACATCTTTGGATACAAAGGGCAAATGTGGACTTCAGATTCTTTTCAGGCACTTTTAGTATGTTTTCTGTGTCATTATGTACTCAGGACGATCCCTTTTAAATAGAGTTAAGAGGAGTTATTTATGTAGTCATATAAAGTATTATCCCATATCTTCCTGTAAGATATTTAGGCGTGAAAGTGTTGCGTAAAATTTTGGTTGTTTTTTAAGTCCAGAGATCTTGGTTTTTGTTTCTTCTGAATAAATAACTATATTATACAAGTAGCCTTAGTGTTGCATGACTAGTATTTCCAGTATCTTTAAAAAGTTTTTTTTAACAAATACAGGGTATTAGGTATACGTAGTTTTGTATGTTGGACATAATGGAGCATTTAAAACTTTAGTATAATACCTTGTGTCACTCAACTTCAAAATATTCATGTATTTGTCCATTTCTAAAACTCATAGTACTTTGGCTCAAAATGGAAGCACCAGGGCCCAATTCAGTTGTAAAAGGAAACTATGGTTGCTTGATATGTGAATAAAGTCTGATAACTGTTGGTCTGTGTGTGAATGTGTGTCATCAAGCAAGAGATTGAGAAAGTTGGTTCTGATTTTGAGACAGAGTTCTCTGTGAAATCTGAATTCTCTGAATTATTGTTTATTAAATTATGATTGATTCCAGAATCAAATCATGATTTTCGATCTTGTTTTAGTATTTTCTTGACTTGTACTCCATTGCTGTATTCATAATAATTCTTCATGTGACTCACAGACTTCCATTAAAACAGTGGTTTCCAACCTTTAGTCCTCCAATTGCTTTGGATTTCAAGTCCCAGAAATCCCAGCCAGTTTACCAGCTGTTAGGAATTGTGGGAGCTGAAGTCCAAAACACCTGGAGGACCAAAAGTTGGAAACCACTGCATTAAAATATATGGTTAGAACTATTAATTTCCTAAAATCAATACAAATGTAAAATTGTAAATATTAAAAATAACTAATTATAAATAATTGCTGATCTATCCATAAAACAATACAGATAGGAATAATAATAGATTCAATGTGCATATTGGGCACTGTTCTATTATCTGGGTGGAGGCCATTAGGGGGTACTAGAGGGAGAAGGATAGTCCATTTTATTGGGGGTGGGTGGGTTTGAAGGAGGAAAACCATTTTGCCCTGTTTTCCTGATATTCCCCCCACCCATGTCCCTGTTGTGGAAATAACCCGCCTTTATGATATGGGCAGTGGAGAGGAAGAGTAAAGTGGGGGGAAATTTTTTTTTTCCTTCGACTCCCCCACCACCACCCGGTAAAATGGACCATGGCTCCCTTGTGGCCTCCCTCCAGGTAATGGAACAGTATCACATAATTGTTCTCTAAATTTTTATATGAGGGAATTTTTAAACTGCTGCATGAAATATGAAAGTTTGAGGAATTACAGGATCTCTACAGAAAGGGAGCTTGCTAACCAGGGTGTGCCATGTGGGGCAATTGTTTGAATCACACTATACCAAAGCACCAGCAGGAGAGCTATCCTGGCTCATCTTAAATCCTTGTTAGATCAGTATTGAGAGCCAAAAGTGGCATAATGGTTTGGATGTTGAATTGGGACTTTGTAGACTAAGGTTCAGATCTCTGCTGAGCCACAGTCTCTCAATCTCAGAGGAGAGCAAGGGCAACCCTGCTCTGAGTAAATTCTACCAAGAAAATTGCTTAGGTCAGAAATTACCTGAAGGCACACAACAGCAGATCAATATTAAATCAGGTGATCTTAAGTTCCTGGGTGCTGAATAATTTAGAGCTTTGTAGATTAATAATGAAAGCTTACATTGGGGCTCATTACTCATTGGCAGCCAATACAGCAATTTTAGAATGGATGTTAATGTTTTCTCATTGCTGTCTCTACATTGCAATCAGATATGCCATCAGCCTACAGACATATTGAGCAAAGTTGTACACATAGTGCATTTCACTAGTCCAGTCAGGAAGACATTCAAGCAGGGATTGTTGTGGCCAAATTATTCTTGCCTAGAAACAAAGATAGCTGTGAGACCAGAAATACCTGATCAGCCTTACCATTAAGGGTTAGCTTGGTATCAAGCCCTGTGCCTAAACTAAACACCTCCTCTTCTTCATTGCACACAGCAAGGTGTCTAACCCATTTTCAGACCTGAGAAATCCCAACTGCCCTTTATATTATGCCCTCAGGATGCATGACTGACATTGATCCCATAATTCATGACCCAGTTGTGCTCTAAACATTTCCGCAGGACCACAATATTTTGGAGTCCAGTTTGATGCAATTGTGAATTGTTTTTCTCCTAAAGTCTTTTGTAAAACTGTTAGCGTTCCTCTGGTTTGGTTTCTGCTGTAGATCTCCCTACATTGTCACAACTTAGATGAACTCCATGGGGCAATTGACTGAATATATAACAGTGGTAAAGAAGTTCGCTTTCTTTGTCGGTATCCTATAATAGGCATGGCAATATACTGTTCTGATTTTTTAAATTCATATTCAGACCAAGAATTAATCTATCTTTGTTCTAGCTGACATATAGTATGTTTCTACATGGCTTAACCTGACAAGGATGATGATGATGATGATGATGATGATGATGATGATGATGATGATGATAATAATAATTTGTTTTTAACCAGCCCTATCTCCCCAAGGAGACCTCCTTAGATGAAAAAAATAAGTGCCAGAGTAATAACCCAGGTGGAACCAGATGTGACTTGCAGAATCTAATCAATTCCAAGCAGCACTTGTAAATTTGAAGAAAAAGGGGCTCTGCACCATGTTGTGCACCAACAGTTAAAATGTAAGGATCAGAAATGCCAGAGATCATCTTCTTCCCTTTAGGAAAACGATGCCAGTTTAGTGAGGCTAGGAAGGCTAATTTACTAACGGCTCATTTAAGGCCATACTTCATAACCTTCTGGTGAGACTGTTTGATATCCTCTGCTGTGTGTATTTCTGACCTTTGGCTTGACTCTGGACTAATCACTCCAGCAGCTCCCTTCTGTTTCAGATTAAGCTCAGCAGTACTTGCTTTGTTTGACTTTGGACTGTCTGGATTACACTTCTCCTTTTATTAAATCTAGTACCAGTTCGAGAGTTACTTTAAGTTACTTACGTGGTTACCCTCTGCAAACTGGAGGTATGCATTCCTACCTTAAAGTAAGCTGGTTTTGTTTCTCAATTCCTCCAAAACCCAAAGGATTCTCCTATTTCTGTGGAACCAGAGAAGGCATTTTGGAGCAATCATGTTGATGTCCTTATTCATATTATCATTCCATACTGAAAAAAGTGCATTCAGGAATTCTTCAGATTTCATAAACTTCTAGAGATATATTATTCTAACCTGTACTTCAGCATTACGGAGGAGATTAGTCACCGTCAGTCCAAATTCCACCACGAATTGATACGGCCATTACAACAGGGTCACTTATAACTTTTCCTCCACCTTAATTTCCTCCACCCTACAGCAAATGGCAGATCAAGAGTATTTCCATCAACATGTTTTGGATCAATGGTGTAGTGAGACAGTTTCACAATTATCACAGCAGCCATTAGGTCCTAAATTGGATCCAGCAGGGTGGTTTCTGCATGACTATCAAAGCCTCACAAGACAATAATGTTCTAGGTCTTCACCTCTGCCAGCTGAGTTAGAGAGCCAGTTGCATAGTGGAGTAAACAAGTATTTTGATGAATAATCTCCGAATTCAGATGTCATGTTTAGTTGAAAAACAAAAGTTAATTTCCTCATTTGGTTGCATGAAAAAGGATAGGAAGGGAGTAAGGAGGCATATTACAGACGTTTATATAATGGGATGTGAGTTACTTTTCTTTTTGGCTGTATCAAAAGTAGAGGGGTATCGTGTTGTATGCTTGTACTACAGAAGCTATTTTACCAATAGTGTTCAATGTATGAAGTACAGTTATACAGTTAAACAGTAAGAAATAGAGATATGATCTGTAGTTTCTCCAGGTGCAGGCACTGTCAATGGATCCCTTGAACTTCCTTCTTGTGACATAATATATAATAACTGTTGTGACAAATGACACTGGTTGTATGGATACTAGATATTTTGGATTTTGGCTTTTTGCTACCTGCATTGATACTCAATTTATATGAGTGTTGCTTGGGGAGATATGGATTATGCTACCACTGATAAACAGATACTGTGACATGGTTCACTGTTTGAAGTTTACGTCCTGTGGTCTTTCCTCACAGCAGTAGATTCTTTTGCTTTTTGATATCTATATAAATATTTCACCAACTGTTTTACTGCTTGCGTGTAACAAGGCATTTCTGTCTCATATAAAAGAAGCACTGGATAAAGTTGTGGATAAAGTGTCATCATTCCTTATCTTAATCTTCAGATAATTACTCTTTCAGATTTGGAATGTGACTACATTAATGCTAGATCTTGCTGCTCTAAACTAAATAAAGTAAGTTTTGGTTCTCTGTGAAAAAGGAAGATATTCTGTTTGACAAAAGATTTGGATGTGTTTGTCATATTCTTTATTGCTATGAAATATCAGCATAATACAGCTAGCCCTCCATATCTGAGAGTTCTGCACCTGCAGATTCAAACAATCATAGATTGATAACATTCAAAAATTAATGCAATGCTGCATGAGAGGAATCTACTTTACTGAAAAGTCAATGAGAAGATCAGATTTGAAAAGTAATTGCATGGCACTGTGATGTTGAGAGTGAGGAGGTGGAGGCAGAGGATTCATAAGCTGCACTTGCTCTTCAATGCTGGAAATCAAAGGGGCTGCATCACTGGGGAGTCCTTGCCTCTTTGCAGTGCCTTTGTGTATCAGAGTGATCAGCAGGGGGTCTGTTCATGACTCACTGATGCATGATCCAGCTTCTGCCTGGTTTGTCGGCCCACGACTCAGAGTCAATCATCCACAGATACCAAGGGCCAACTGCATATTCTTTTATACATTACTGTGTTAGATTGCATTTGCGTTTTTTTTAAACAGTGGAGTAATCTGAATGAGACATTTGAACCAGATATAAATGGTAACAAATCTATAAACTAATTCTGTGTTGCCCTGTGAATAACAGTAAATCTCAGACTGCTATGTTTACCATTTGGGGTGGTTTTGATTGGGTGCAGAGGGACATACATAACGACAGGGCAACTCTAGGAGTTTAGGGAGCTGTATTAGCCCCCAGGAGACCTGTAAGTAATGCGAAACGTATTGAAATAAAAACAGCAATGAAATTGAAATGGGGACGTTCCCATTCATGGAGAAGGCTTTGTGCTCAGATCTGGATTTTCCAGTCTGTGGGTCCTTGAAGTCCAGAAAGAATGCTCTCTACGTGGGGCTGCCCTTGAAGACGGCCCGGAAGCTTCAGCTGGTTCAGCGTGCGGCAGCCATGTTACTAACTGGAGCGGGGGGCAGGGAGCATACAACACCCTTGTTGTCCCAGCTCCATTGGCTGCCGATTTGCTACCGGACCCAATTTAAGGTGCTGGTTTTGGCCTACAAAGCCCTAAACGGTTCTGGCCCAAAATACCTTTCGGACCGCATCTTGGCCTATGAGCCCACGAGGACCTTGAGATCGTCTGGGGAGGCCCTTCTCTCGATCCCGCCTGCCTCACAGGCACGTCTGGCGGGGACGAGAGAGAGGGCCTTCTCGGTGGTGGCCCCCCGGCTGTGGAACACTCTCCCTACAGACATCAGACAGGCGCCCTCCCTCATGTCCTTCCGAAAAAGCCTTAAGACATGGCTGTTCGAGAAGGCATTCAATTAAGTGCTATAATAATGCGGTAAAGATGATTGGAATGGAATAAGGAATATGAGATTGGTTATGATTCCATTATGAGACGAAGCGGATTTTTAGTGTAGTTTTTGTAATTGTTATGTAGTTTATATGCTGTTGTAATTGCCTTTTTGTAAATTGTCTTTTATATGTGTGTACACCGCCATGAGTCGCCCTAAAGGGCTGAGAATGGCGGTTAATAAATGCATCAAATAAATAAATAAATAAATAAATAAATGGTCCCACAAACGGTTATGTACAATTTGTGACTTCTTTAAAAACTTCTCTTTTCCAGTGGGTGATCCCTGAATTGATTGGCCATACCATTGTTACAGTATTAATGCTTATTTCACTGCACTGGTTCATCTTCCTCCTCAATTTACCTGTTGCAACCTGGAATATCTATAGGTAAGGGCAACTGGAAGTTATGGGTATTTATGAAAATGCTATTGTTTCAGAAAATGGAATGTTGTGGACGATGCCGTTTATACTCTTCTGCTTAGTGAAAAACAAGGAGCACTTTATAAAGTGTTTGATTTGTTTTATCGTTTATGAAATCAGCCAGTTTTTGGTTGGAATCATTTATTTTTGTAGTAAATTATCCAGGGTTTTTAATGTATATATTTAATGTTGTTATTGCTAAGGATTTTTCAGAACATTGCTCACTATATGTGCTGTGAAGGCTGTTTGTTCCTCACCTGGATGAGGAGATCCATGTTTGGATGCAGCAACCATAGTCATAAAGCAGCTAAACATCAAGTCAGTGCTGATATCACCTCTCTGAATGCTGTTAATTTCAATGGGAGACCTGCATCCCTATACATATTTTGATATAACTAGTCACACATAAGTACAACTTGTATATGTGACTAGAGGAATGTGTATTAAGGTACTATGAAAAATTATCCGCTGCATAAACTTGCTCGAATATGTGATTTTATTTCAAGAAACAGCCTTGTCATTTCTGAAGTTACAGTACTAAACATAATATTTGCTTGTATTTTGTTGGCTATGTGCTTTTCCTGTCTGTGAACTCATCTGTATGAGAAAAAAGTATTTGAAACCTCTGGCCAGTTCACTTGCTGTGGTACAGAAGTTCTGTTTGCATGGTTTTGTTGTCAATGAATCTATGTACATGTATTTCCCTCCATTGCCTCTGCAAAGTCACAATTTCACAATTTCAGTTACCATGACAGCTGCTTTAGATCAGTCAGAATAAAGCTGATGCTTAGGCTCCTATAGAACAATGCTGCCACAATTAACAGATAAACCCACCTGGAAGTTTGGAGGAGCATATTTAAACACAAGGAGTTCAGTGGGGAGAAAGTGGCAGCTCATTTACACAGCTGGATACTTATGTGATATTGCATACAGCCCTGGTTTCTTACACCACAGAAAGAAAAATTAGTGAGGAAAATGTCCAAGTAAGTGGTGACTAGAGGAATTGTCCAGCCTAGCCTCACTGCTACTTATATTGGAGGCTCTCCTATTCAGCCTCAGCTGTTCTCTGTTCCTTTCTGCATTTTGATCAGTTTATTGTCTGCCTCATGTTGTACTTCACTCTCCTGAAAAGGAACAAGCTTTTCAACATCCATTTTTTCAGATCTCTGCTAAGTTTTGTTGTGTCCATTCCCTCCCATCCTGTTTGTCTGTGTCCTTTTCTCTACTTCTCTGATGATGCCACACCTTTTGTCTTCTGCTCACTCAAGTGATTGTCTTACTGAATATGAATTGTGTCATCTTGGCATTGGAGTATATGTGCTGAGACATTTCTCCTTGAAACCTTTCCAGGTACATTATGGTTCCCAGTGGAAACATGGGAGTATTTGATCCCACAGAGATCCATAATCGAGGGCAGCTAAAATCACACATGAAGGAAGCCATGATTAAACTTGGTTTTCACCTTCTTTGTTTTTTCATGTACCTTTATAGGTAAGTCCTTTGTCTTTACAACTAAAAGTCAGTAAAATGATTCCTGCTAATTAACGTTTAGCTGTAGAAGTAGAGGATCTTTATAAAGATCACAGCTGGGACTCTGCAACATTAGACAAATGCTGCTTCTTATGATCTTTGAAAACACCCATCCAAGTACTCCGTAGGGCTGACCCTACTGAGCTTCAAAGATCAAATGGGATGTGGCACCTTTAGGGTTTATCAAGCCCTTAGCATGTGTTATGCGGCCTTGATATAAGGGGATTCTAAACTTTGGCCGTACCTGAACAAATTTGATTTGGCAAGGAACTAATATGACAGAGAATGGGCTTGTACAATGAAACATTTTATCACCTGGAGCCACAATTTCCAGCTCTCCCGTAAGAGTTTGTGATTATATGGAATGATAAAAACTGAAACTATTAATCTTGCTACCAAAATAAATAAGCAGGTTACATAAGGATGTCTGTCTGCTTGAAATTGGACTTGTGCATAAACCACTGCTATTTTCATTCTTTCTGCAGTATGATCCTGGCATTGATAAATGACTGAAGTCAAACAGGAGCTGTTAATAGTTGCCAAATTCTGAACTATCACTCCATTGAAAATGTTGTGGAACCAGGAGCAACATTCAAGTAAACCTACACCAGTGTCGTCATGCAGTATATTTTTCCTTTTTGAACAAAAACTATTTTTGCTGTATTTTTTAACATAAAATATTTAAAAACCATGATATTGAGTTTTTGGAAATATTGATTAGTTTCTATCTTTTCTATTGTATTACGTTCAGATTTATGTAAGAACGTTTTTTAGAATGTCAGCTATCAACAGGGACATTGAGTGAAGCAATAGCTATAAATAATGGTTTTTTCTTAAGTGTAATCTGTATTTCACAGAAAGGCAGCTATTATAAACAAAATCCATCCATTTATTCGTCTGAATCAAAGGTCACGGAAACAATGATCACGAACTAGCCCTTAGGCACTGAGTACATTCATTGACCTAATGTTGAGGCTTCAGTGCAGTGGTAGCCCTCCTCTCAGTATGGCTAGTTTCTTCTGCTTACATTTATGCCAGTGGCTGGCTTTGACAAACAAATCACATTTCATTATTATCACAGCTAGTAGTGCAGCACATGTTTTGCTAGCATAAACGTCTGCATGTAGTCCTCAGAAGCAGAAGGACTTTAGGGTTTTATATATCTAGCAACCAGAGTAAACAGCAGTAAGATGACATGGGCAATGACCTGGCTCAGACATGTCCCATGTTCATATCTCACACAATGTTTAAAGCACTATGTTTCAGTAAGGGATCTATTTATACACATAAGCAACAGTATTGGCTATTGCATAAAGAACGTGAGGAGAGGTAATTTAGAAGAAATAAATAAAATACTGTACCTTAATACTCCAGTAAGCGATAATGGAGGGTATGATAAGAGTTTCTAAAAGCAAAGAGGGCAAACTGATCCCAGTAAGCAGCATGCTGTATGGCTAGAGAAGATGCTACAACTGGTGTACGTTGACATTGGACAGTGAAAAAAGTCGTTCCAGGAGTACTATAAGGGCCAACAGCTACTTATTTCCCCATTCACCAAAATGGGGGGAAGTTTTACCTGTCCATAAACAGTTGTTACCAGGCTGAACCATTACCAGACTGAAGTACTAATCTCACCTAGAGCAGCAGTGCTTTCTATGCATAAAAAGGAAGTATCTTGTGAGTATAGATATAATCTATATAAAAATTCCTGTGACGCCACCCTTGGAACCCAGGGCTTAATTCTAAGTATCCATTGGCAACAAGAAGATACTTTCAGGTTAGTGTAGGTAGAAAAAGATATGCTAAAAGTAATAATTTGCGGTGATAGACTGTGCAATAGTTTAAGGCAGTGATGGGCAACCTTTCGAGCTTGGTGTGTCAAAATTTGCCAAAAACTGAGCATAACTTGGGTGGAGTGTCACTTCAAGAAAAAAACCCATAATTTTGCAATATTTATAATTTAAATAAGAAAAATGTATAATCCATGCTGAGTTATGGAGTGGACAATGGCCAAATGTGCATATATTAAATTTGTAGAGCCTTTTACAAATTTAAGGATGGAATTAGATTGGCTCTTATAAGGTGTATTTCTCTGTATGTGGCCACATGTGTCTGCGTGTCATCAAAAATAGCCATGCGTGTCAGTGCTGACACACGTGTCATAGGTTCACCATCATGGGTTTAAGGGTTAAAATTAGAACAGTGTTGGAGAGTGAGTGTGATAACCTCTGTGTGTCATGGGTCCCATGTATAAGATATAGCATTCCCCAAATCCTAGGAGGGACTTTACCCCCTTCTGTCCTGTATCCCAATCAGCCATCACCTTCCTAACAAATCTGTCAACAGAACAGAGGAGCCTTCTCATTGCCAAGACCAATGTAATTTACTCTTACTCTATTTTTAAGGTTTTGAAAGAAATTAAGAACTTATTATGGACCATATCTGCAGAATCAGGCATCAGGCTTCTCATCAGAGTATTTTTTAGGAGCCCCCGGTAGTGCAGTGGGTTAAACCCTTGTGCCGACAGGACTGAAGACTGACAGGTCAGAGGTTAGAATTTGAGAGAGCGTAGACGACACTGAGAGAAGCCTCCCATAAGGATGGTAAAACATCAAAACATCCTGACGTCCCCTGGGCAACTTCCTTGCAGATGACCACTTTTCTCACACCAGAAGCGACTTGCAATTTCTCAAGTCACTCCTGACACGAAAAAAAATTCAGTATTTTAATATATCTGGAAACATCCTTGACATTTTTGAGCCACCTGATTTCTGTAATTGAGCATGTATGTTCAAAGCCCCCCTGCACAAACCTGGTTTGCATTTTAATCATTTGTATTGGCCGAGTTCTCCTTTTCTTTTAAGATAGTTTCAAATCGCAAACCACATTTTGGAGTTCCTTTTTGCTTATGGAATCTAGTGATTTTCATGGGGCTCATTGCATTGTTCTGACATAATATGGTTGGGTTTTCGTCTGTTAAGTGTCTGGGGTTCAAATGTAGAGTCAGGAGGATACTTACCAAATTAGCTCCTTTTTTGGTTCACACGCAGTTCTCTCACATTTCATTGTTACAAACTTATGCCACGCTTGCAGTTGTATGTATAGATAGGCACATGTTGCCCTTTTCAAATACTAGTGTTCAGAGACAAATTATACTATGTAACAAAATTTGAAAAAAAATTCTCTTAATCATAGAATTATAGAATTGGAAGAGACCATATGGGCCACTATCAAAGTATCCATGACTGATGGCCATTGAGCATGTTTAAAAGTTTCCATGGAAAGAGCATCCACCACACTCCGAGGTAGAGTTCCACTGTTGAACAGCATGTATGGTCAGAAAGGTCCACCTAATGTTCAGGTGGAATTTCCTTTCCTATAATTTAAACCCATTGCCCCGAGTCCTAGTTTCAAGGGCAGCAGAAAACAAACCTGCTCTTTCTTCCTTATGACACCCTTTCACATATTTACACATGGCTATCATGCCTCTTCTTAACCTTCTCTTCTGCAGGCTAAACATATCCAGTTCTTTCAAGACGCTCCTTATAGGGCCTAGTCTCCAGAACTTTGGTCATTTTAGTTGCTCACCTCTGGACATGTTCCAGGTTGTCAGTATCTCTTTTGAACTGTGGTGCCCAGAATTGGACACAGTATTTCAGGTGAGGTCTAATCAAAGCAGAATACAAAGGCACCATGTCTTTCCTTGATCTAGATGCTATACTTTTTGATGCAGCCCAAAACCCCATTGGCTTTTTAAGCTGCTGTATTACACTGTTGGCTCATGTTCAACTTCTTGTCCACAAAGACTCCAAGATCTTTCTCACATGGACAGTTGTCGAGCCAGGCATCACCCATTCTGTATCTTTTCATTTCATTTTTTCTGCCTAAGTATAATATCTTGCATGTGTCCTTGCAGAAATTAATTTTGTTAGTTTTGGCCCAGCTCTCCAATCTGTTAAGGTCATTTTGAATTTTGACCCAGTCCTCTGGAATATTAGGTATCCCTCCTAATTTATCATTTGCAAACTTGATAAACAGTCCCTTCATCCAAGTTATTAATAAAGATGTCAAAGAGTACTGGGCCCAGGACCCAACCCTGCAGCATTCTACTAGTCACTTTATTCCAGGATGAAGAGGAACCATTAGTGAGCACTCCTTGGATTCGCTCGCTTAACCAATTACAGATCCACCTAACAGTAGCATTGCCAGCACACATTTGGACAGTTGCTTGTTCCTCGTTTGAAAGTGTTATTTTCTGTTTAATCGTGTGTTATTTGTTTTGAAAGTAGTTGCTATACTCCAGAGACTTGGGTTTTGTGGCTGCCAAACAGTATGTTGAATTGGTTGACTCAATGAGATATTCACTGAAAAATTATAGCAAAATATGCTGTAGGATGTCCCACAAAAACAAGGTTTTTGGAGTCTAATACATTCATCCTGTTTTTATGATAGAACCAATTGGGAAATGACCTTTACAACCTTGGAACAACAACTGTGTTACATAGTGTTATTTGTAGTGTAGTGATGGGTTAGTGTGATTTTTACAAGTACAAATAATGAATCATCAAATACAAGTACAGTATATCTTATCACCGTATGGATACAAATCCATATAAGTGGAACTCCAGTATTTTTGGGGGTCTACACATGCAAATTAAAAGGAACAATTTAGTAAAGCTATACAACTAATCAGTGACTTACTCTGTGGGTTGTTATGAAATTTGTGGGCTGTATAGCCATGTTCCAGAAGCATTTCTCCTGATGTTTTGCCTGCATCTATGGTAGGCATCCTCAGAGGTTGTGAGTTCTGTTGGAAACTAGGAAAATTGGGTTTATATATCTGTGGAATGTGCAGGGTGGGAGAAAGAACTCTTGTCTGTTTGAGGTAGGTGTGAATGTTGCTATTCGCCTTCTTGATTGGCATTTAATGGCCTAGCAGTTTCAAGATCTGGCTTCTTTGTTGGGAGGTGATTAGCTGGCCCCGATTTTCTTCTCTGGAATTCACATTTTTGAGAATTGTTCTTTATTTACTGTTCTGATTTTAGTGTTTTTTTTAAAAAAATACTGACAGCCAGATTTTGTTCATTTTCATGGTTTCTTCCTTTATGTTGAAATTGTCCACATGCTTATGGATTTTAATGGCTTCTCTGTGTAGTCTGAAATGGTAGTTGTTACGAGTGGTCCAGTATTTCTGTGTTTTCAAATAATATGCTGTGTCCAGGTTGGTTCATCAAGTGCTCTGCTATGGCTGACTTCTCTGGTTGAAGTAGCCTGCAGTGCTTTGTGTTTGCCTCAAACAAAGAGTTCTTCCTCCCACCCTGGACATTCTACAGATATATAAACCCCATTTTCCTAGTTTCCAACAGACCTCACAAACTCCAAGGATGCCTGCTATAGATGCAGGCAAAACGTCAGGAGATAATGCTTCTGGAACATGGCCATACAGCCTGGAAAACTCACAACCACCCAGTGATTCCGGCCATGAAAGCCTTCGACAATAGACTTACTCTGTATTTTTAGCCTTTAATATCTCTACCTTAGGTACAAGATCCTTCATCTGAAGCATCTGTACTATATATGTGTAAACCAGTTTAACAAGATTACTGATGAAGCAAGTTGCGGCTAAGTCCGATGTCCATGCTGTGGTGGTTTTGATTCTAAGTAAATCAACCAGAACGTTGTGATTCACTAAAGCTGAATGCAACTATCATAGGTGTGGACTCAGTAAACATTACATTGTGGGTATCTGTGGCTGTAAATGTGGATTTGAAGCAACATTTCACAGTACTTGGTTAATAGCCTGCTTTGTGTTGAATGAATATGTATCAAACTGCATAAACAACCGAAAAGCAGTGCAGACCTGGATCCAAGGCCATAGCTTTCCCACTCTTCCCAATGTGCCACAAACCCCTGTTGGTTGTAGCATAGGTCAGCAGGCTCTATTTTTGAGATAGAATATTTTTTTAGAAACAAAACAAAAAAATAAAAACCCCAATACTTTGCATTCTTTATGAAAAAGAAATCTGAAAGGGCAAGCATAGCACTGAAGTTGAGGCTAAAGACTATCCAAGTCCAGTTATTCATTCTGTTTATTTAATTGGAAAGAAAGGGATACAAATATTTGTTAAGTGCTGTGCACCAACATGGAAAAGTGTAATTTTTTTAAAAACCCCAATAAAAACAAAAACCGGGAATCAATGTAGTTTGAACTGAACATTAAGAGATATGTTTTAATATACTACATATTTATAAAACAAAAAGTTAAGGTGTTCTGTAAATAATTAGTAAAACAAGTGAAAATAAATATGGAGACCCAACGTTCTTATGTTTTAATGTAATAAAGAAATTCTTAAACTACTTAATATAATTGAAGAGGAGAGTAACAAAAATCCAGAAAGTTTAAGAACGCAATCCTTTGAAACATTTAATATCAGTCCATAGCAAATAGTCATTACATACCAAAAGCTCTAAATGTTAACTAGTTCCACCACAACTCCATATAAATCTTGACAATTTAGAAATTTAAGAACAATAAAAGTTCTTTTCTTGATCTCTACAGCTTGGTTTGTAAGTACACACATGCTTTGAGGATCTGTTTCTTCCTCATACGTTTTCAAGGAGCCGATAACTTTTTCCATCTGTGCTGAGAAGTGTTAAGAATTAAATCTAGTACATTTATCCTAACAATGAAACACTTAAAAGATGGGGCACACTGAATTTCAAATTTATAAAAATATATTGGTATCAACCAAAATCTTAAGTCAGGACACTTCACATACACACAACTTGACTTAAAGTATGCAGTAAAACATGACATGTACCTAGAACAGTTGGTTCCATGACTGTTTTGTGTTTCACGCACATACATTCATACCACACACACACACACACACTTTGCTGAATTCAGATAATCTGAAAGCAGCAAATAGGAAATGGGTTTCTAGTTTGTGTTCCAGCAATTAGAGCAGCTAATGCAGACAACACTGCACAAATCAATTAAGTCCACCCTGTTCAAAAAGTGTCAAAGTGTTTCCAAAATTCAACTAATTGTCTGTCAAATGAACAGTTCTATGGCAGCTGAAAATGGACTCAAGCCAATGCAATATACATTTTAACCATATATATGATTGATAACTCCAGTTTAACAGTTCATTTCAAATTCTTCGAACTGAGGCAACTTGTGTGCTTGGGGTATTAACTAAGGGCACTAAATCTTGTTGAAAATTGCTTCTCTTTCCCTTCTGTTCCTACCCCAAAATTAAAGGTTAGACATTCTTTTGCTGATAACTAAAAAAAAAAAGATATCTCCATCCCCCAATTTATCTATTGCCAGAATAAGACTGGTATTAGAAAACAGCTTAACTTAAAGCCAGTTTTTCCTTTGAGGTGGGAGATTTTTTTAAAAGTTAAGATGGCACTAAGTTCTTAGCATTACATTACATTCAACAATACCTGCTTGGAAGCCAGAATGAGATTGGCAAATGTTGGGTAGCTTTCCACCTGTGACTTGGTATTAAAATTTATATTATGCTTCCCTCATTTTGGAACCAAAACTTAAAAGTGAGGGAAGTAAGCCTCATATTTACAAAACTATTCTGAGGGCTATATAGAATTTATTTTGTATTTCCCCATTTGTGCTCCTATTTTTAAAATGACTTACCTGATGAGCTCAGAAGCACTGTGGTGAAATGTCATGATTTTTAGCTGGTGTGCATATTTTGGAATTGACCTGGTATGGAAACCTAAGGCAAAATATAGTCTATAGTATCCCTTTCCCATACATCATTTCCTCTGTTCTGGGTAAGATATGGACAGCAATTAGAGTTGCTTCAGTATTAAATAGCCAACAGTAGTGATGTCTTCCAATATATGAAAATGAAGGTTGCAGATACACCTATTCCATGTATTCTCCCCTATAAACATCAACAGCCTCCTTTTTAATCCACATATCGGAAAAGAAATAGGCTGTTGAAGGCTTTCATGGCCAGAATCACTGGGTTGCTGTGAGTTTTCCGGGCTGTATGGCCATGTTCCAGAAGCATTATCTCCTGATGTTTCACCCACATCTATCCTCTGAAGATGCCTGCCATAGATGTGGGCAAAACGTCACGAGGGAGTGCTTCTGGAACATGGTTATACAGTCCGGAAAACTCACAGCAACCCAAAAAATAGGATGTTCACCTGTTTAGTATGGTAGCAATGTTAATGAAGCCAGCTAACTTTACAGCCAGGCATATATTGCTTTTGGTTCAATGTCATCCATAGTAAAAGGTTGCACGCAGGCAGACTATCTTATCTGAAAACCTTCTATCTCAAATAGTGTTGCCTGCATTGTCCCATTAAATTTACAAGTGTCATTTTTAAGACACATTTCTCATGCAGTTTCAGATGAAGACATTGGCATTTAAATAACAGCAGCAATGATCTAGGAATGACTTGATAAAGGAGAAAGCTGAGAAGGTACATCCACTCTGGTATCCTGAATTTAGTTTCCCACATTTTAAGAAAAGGAAAGCATCTCCAGATTTATTTACTGGTTTGGGATCTATGCCAAGAAAATCTGAACCAATTACAGTACGTGATTTTGACCAACTGCTCAAAAGAAATTGTAGCACGCTTTGATTACTGCAATCTCCTAAGGTGTTTTTAAGGTCAGTAGGAGCACCATGTCAATAACAGAACTAGAATCTATCAAGGTATAGAATGGGAGTATCTGCAAAAGTAAAATATTATATAGGCTTAAAAGGGAGCTATAAAAAGCCTTTAAATAAAGAAGCTTGACATCAGGAAGATTGTGTGTGAATGAGCAACTATAGTAAATGTAACTTTATTGATAAAATTTTAAGCAGAAAGAGAACAGCTTATATGAGCCAAAGTATGGACGGAAATTTCTTTACTGCTCCAGAATCCATTAGAGGACCTGGCAAGAAGACATTCTATTATTCAAATATTACTTCATCTGTGCATTTTTAACTCTTCGGATTATGAAGCCAGAGTTGTGTTTATATTCAAAGAGAACACAATTGCTGTGTGAAGTTCATGGAATACCACTTTTGGGTGACATTTTGAAACAATTCAATTTGGAGCATCAAAAGGCTCAAAAGGAAAACTGTAGTAAGTAAGGGATACATACAGGTGCAGTACTAATGTTGATTCCTTATCACTGAATCTTTACATTTAAAAACAAAACATGAAATAAAAGGTTATGTCTTGGGTCTTCCTTTTCCTATAAAGTCCCCTTTCCATTTCTTATTCTTTTTCAGCTAATGCCACAAGGATGTTTTACTATTCTATTGAACTTATGAGCTGCTTTCTTTTCTGTTCTTTTTAAGGATGGCCCTACATGCATTTTCATGCTTTAACGGGGGAGGGGGGTATTCTGAAAATCAGCAGCTAAGTAGGGCAAACAACCAGATTAATTTTCTCTGAGTTCTATTATGTCTCTTATGCAAACAGAAAATTAAGGAACCCAATTCCTAATGTCACGCAATTAACCGCACTTAACTCAGAGAAGGGTCCTGGAAAAGAGTGGACTAATACGTATTTAATTCACAAGAGATGGTTAACTCACTTTTTTTTTGAAGATAATACAAACACTACCCTCATTTTTAACCTTACATTTCAAATAAGAATCATTGCACAAGTTATGGCCAATTTGGAAGTCTTGTTTATTAACTTCAGAAATTACATTAGAATTGTTTAGCTGGCGATTTTGAAAGCTCTCAAATTCTTTCGTTGGTAAATCAAGTTTGTTTTTGAAAATAATACTTTATATAGTCTGTGTAAAACTGCTGTCAGCCAAATGGTCTTACACAACACTCCAGAGGAGCACCAGTTATATACTGCATTAACTTATAGATGACACTTTTTAAGCTGGTTTAAATTCTGAACGTATACAAATGAAGTCATTTTAATGCTATAAATAATTTATTATTTTAAAAAATTGTGCTGTTAGCCCCTTTATAGGGTAACAAGCGATGTGAAAAGTACAAAACTTTTTGTCAAGTGTGATACTGAGAGTGCTTTTCATGTCATTCACTGGTTTAACATCTGGGTTTAGATATACTGCGCAACGGGCAAGGCTAGAATCCATGAACCAAGCTGCAAAGATCTCAAGCTAAATAAGGCGGAGAGACTCAGAGAAACAAGAGAAGGAAGTACTTTCCTATCCAACATGTACTCTTCAGACTAAGCACTCTTTCTATCAAGCCTTCTAAACTGTTAAATAAAAGATTTTCCAAACAAGCATTTAAACTTCATTACACAGAAGAGCAACAAGAACAGTAGTCTGCCTGACAAAATGGCAGCAGGGAAAAATGTATATACGGAGTTCAATGGTTAGCCTGAATGTAGCACAGTTCTTCACAACCGATGAGGGGGTTACTTCAACATGGTGTCCAACAACGTTCTAACGACGTGCTTCATCTCAACTGTTTACTATGAAGCAAGGTGGTAAAATGTTTGGCCCCAGTTGGGCTTTAGAAATGGTTCTTTTTTCATGACGAGCATGTCTGTCCAGCTACCGATCATGTTTGTTTGCACCAAATCCCAAGCCATTTAAAATACGACTAGATTTAAGTTAAACAGAAGTCGTCTGCTCCAAATTCACCATCAACTATCCATGCTACTGCATTCCTCTAAAGGGGAGATGGGTGTATTGTAAAACAAGGGGAAAAAAGAAGAATCTTTAGTAATTCAGAAAATATGAGAACACATCTGGGCATTCATTATAATGCAAGGCATATAGAAAGAAATCCCTCTACAGAAACTGAGCAATGTCATTGTATTCGTTCTGTTAATTAATATCATCTTTTAAGCTTCTAAAACTTTCAATGGAGAAAGTGTCTACAAAAAGAACATGCAATTCAAGAGGGTCTCCCTGGACCTAGTAATGATAGGCAACTGTTAACACAGGTAAGAGAACATCAATTATGTCAAAAGCATTGCACGGAGGATGAGATGTTACAACATATATGGATTTAGATTAAAATATTTAGGTCCATGAGGTTTAAGACAGCTGCCAAGAGGCACGGAACCCCTGACTGTGGATAATGGTGTCTAGGATATATGTGCAGTCCCAAGTGCCAGGATGTGTAACCCAAGAAGCCTTATTTGATAGACAAGAATGTTAAGTTCTTGCTTCCACTGACCTTAGTTGGGAACAAGATGAAGGACAGAAGCAAAGCTACAACCAGACCAATATTTCACTGAAACTAATGCACCATTGAATGTAAGGTTTGAAGCTTCAATGTTTGAAGCCCTTTGAAGCTTCAATGTTTGAAGAAAAAAAAAGGTTTTTCTTAGTTCTTAAAAATTCCTCGGCATGCGCAGCACCTTGCTTTGGTTTCAACCCAGAAGTCATCTTGTTTGATCACTCTATTTTTCTAGCTCTATGGGCCCGTTGGAGAGCCAGGGGAAGCAATAACTGGCACATAGCTCTGTCTCTGTAGGCTGTTGGAGCTGTAGAGAGTGGATGGAGGACAGAAGCTTGGGGATGCTTCCAGCACTCTACTGAAGTAGAGGAAATACCTGACCCCTCCTCCCCATGAAATTATGGATCTATAGATTGTAAAGCAGAGTCTTTTTTTGTAGCCCCTAAAATGGGAAATAATGTATGCTTTACAACATTTGAAACAGGGCACGTATCACATAATCAAGTGATCTACAGTATGGCGTGAGTCTGTCATCAATCAAACTAAGGGCAGCCTTCATGGGAAGTCTCTGTTTCTCAGGAGGTATTCAATAATGAAATCTTTACAAACTAATCTAATGTGTACAATGGGATAAAGAGTAGCTAATGCATTGAGGAAGTATATGTCATAACAACTCTTCCAAAAAGTTGTCTCTGTGAAGGAAACAATAAGAAATGTGCAGTGCTTAAAGCATATGTTTGATGTGGAGAACCTAGTGCCCTAGTCTGTGAGGTGACTGATGGAAAAGTTGGAGGATAGGGTCACAGTCTGATAAAAAAAAGTTATAAGATTTGGGGGCTTTTTCCACCAACCGTTGGGTGTGCGTGTGTGTGCAAAAAGATGAACAACTATCAGTCTGCCTTCAGAACGTGAGTACTGAGTGGAAAGGGAAGATAAAAATTATCAGAAGAAACTCAGGAGAAAACAGAGAAGTTAACTAGACATCTTCTGCTGGAAGAAGCAGACACTAACAGCTTACACACACAGCCAAGTGAAGAAACTTGGATTATATGAACCTTGTCTTTCCATAATAGGAATTAATCATTGTTATAGACCTCACACCAGGCTAAGAATTTATATATGGTATGTCACCACGGGCTATTAGGAAACAAATAAATACATAAATGGATAACTGATCTCCTTAATATTTCTTTATCATAAAAATTAGATTTTATTTACCTTCAATATCCTGGTTGTCTACAAAAGGTGCTGGTCCCCATATTCTAACGGTGCCGTCATCAGAGGCGCTGGCCATCATGGATGGGATTTGCGGGTTCCAGCTCACACAATTGACTGTACGTGTGTGCCCCGTCAGCTCCGCAATTGGCAGCTCACTACGTTTGTGCCAAATATATACTTTATGATCTAAGACAGATAGGTTTGAAGAAACATGAGTCATCCTAAAATTTAAAACATGACCTGCAGAAAATATGGCAGTGGTCCATGTTTTGACCATTTCCACATCAAAATTACATGCATCTCCAAAACTGAAGTCTACTGAACAACAGCTTCAGGAAGTTATTTTTACCTCACTAGCCAGTAAAATTCCTTATTTAAACTAGCAGCAAGTATTAATCTTCTCAAGACAATATTTAAATGTAACTGGAGTATCTTATATTTTAAAGCCGGCTTTACACTATCCAAACAAAAGAGGCCTTGGATGGTACTTCTCCCACAGTTTATTTTTTTGTTTTTGTTTCTGGCATCCCCTTTGAATAGTGTTGGGGACTCTCAAAGAGATCATACTGTCATTGAATGGGATTCCCAGGTAACACTTTTTGAGTAGTTTCAATATCTGGGTCTATAGAAAATTCAATTAATGCTGAGTTGTCTTGACTGAGAGAGTCATCACTGCATAGTAAAAAGCAGACAAAGCCAGGGTCATATCCTGATCGTTCTAGAAGTAAAAACATATAAACTAGCATCAAACTGCCCCATAATTACCTGCAACTGTCATGTCCTATCACAATAGCATCTATTTCTCAGGCAAAAAATAGTCAATTTGTGGACTATAAAGGCTGAATTACACTGCCAGATTAAATATCATTTAGGTGTACACTTATAAACTACTGGTGCTATTACATAACAATGTACAACACAAAAAAGAACGTAGCTGAGCAGAGCAATGCAATGCAGACAACTCTATGACATCGCTGCTCCTGTCACTACGCAGACATCGAAAACAAAGCCAGTAGGGAATGCACCTATCTGAACTGCAGATCACACAGGACCGGTTCCATGTCAAGATGCACAATTCTGCACTACTGAAAAACCACAGATCACGGATACTGGCATACAGTGAGATTTTTCCTACATACTAGTATCTTAATAACAAGCTTGTGGCTTGCTCTTCAATGTACAATCAGATGGAAGCATTTACAAGAACTTCAGGATGTATAGGAGTCATTAAAATGCAAGCATTATCACTGATGTTTAATTCTGACAATGATTTAAGATTCGAATTGTTACTAAATCTGTTCCCAATCCTTGCAAATCACATTATGACCTACTTGCTAGATAAGTTGATATAACTGCTTTCTGTCTAAATAAATCCATAGGGGATTTTTAAAAATAAAACTAGCATGATATATAAATTGCATCAAAGACTCCTGCATGTAGTTTTAATATTAATCCCTCAGTTGAATACCGACTATTACATGCACTCTGTGTAGCTTCAAGGTCACCACAGTATTCATCTTAAGGTAACAATACTCAGAGTTTATTCTCGGGAGAGCTTTTCATGCCACTTTACGTTGACCCAGTTTGATGTGAACTTTACTCCCAGGGCGGACACTTCATTGTTTGGGGCTGGTAGGTGAAAAGCCTACCTAGCTGAGAACATACCTTTACATTTAAGAGGTTATGACATTTAAATCTGTTACTTTTTTTGTACATAGAGACTTTCACAGCAGCCATATTTGCAACAATTCAGTGCAAAGAGGCAACAGCCTCAGGCAGTCCGAATCTAAATAAGGTGCCATCAGCTTCAACTACAGCTGGGTAGTTTTTAGACACTGAAAATGAAAAAAATAAAAAGCTGTTCTAAGTTGACCTGGATAAATTAATCTGTACAGTCATGTCAAAAACACAGTAGGATGAAACTAAGTGAGTTATCCATGCTGTCCTGAGCTCTGTCCTGATAAAACTAATATTCTTAGAGCCAATGAAGTTGTCTAGAAATTCCTGGGCTAGATACTGTTTGGAAAAGGGGAAGGGGTTAAACACATGCATAAAAACTATTTAGCATCACAATAGCTGAATTCAAGGTCCAATAAATGTATCATTTTCAGGTGAATCGCACAAACGCTAGAAGTTATGAGGTTACATTGCTTCAAAATATTTTATCTGGAAAGCACACCATTGACTGTTCTCCTGTTCGAAGTCACCTTCTCTGGAAATTTGTAAGCCACAGGTATACTACTCTCACTTTCCATTAATCAACTACCAATCCAGAGAAACGGACAATGAATGCCCAACCCCGCTACTGGAACAACAATTCAACATGGTTTGGAAAATAAATTTTTAAAATCTACAAGATAGAGCATCTTTATTTCACGTTGCTCAAAGTCAACATTACAGGATGTTTTAGATCTGCTACACAATATATCTCCTGTTTCTCTCAACATAATTAGTTACACGTAAGATAACAGTACTCATCTACACTAACATGACCACACCTACCTTTGACAAGCAATGCTAGATAAAATCAAATTTGTTATTTCACCAAGAGAGATGTTAGAGAAAAAGCATTGTATTACATCACATTCATTTACTGAAACTACAGAAAGGTTATCGACTGAAACATCATATGCCCTATTACCCAGTTTTCCATTCTTTGAAGGAAACACAGACAGCTATTAATCATGTACATGAAATTATGGAAAGAATAGACCACTTTTCTCATTAAAATATAAATGACAAAAGACTCTTAATATCCATTAATGTACTAGAATTGCATATAAAAACGCATACATACAATGTGATACATCTCTGAAAAACAGTTATTACCTTCACTGCCACTAGCGATGAAGTCTTCGTTATGGCCTCCAAAACATGAGTGAATCGTGTAAAAACCTTGTGTAACACCTTGGTACTTTCTCACTAAAACTCTGTCTTGCAAATCCCATAAATGAACTCCCTGAGGACAAAGATTATAGTAGAAGTAATTTATTACAACATAGACGTTTTTCCCACAATTTGTTTTCTGAAAAATCATGCTGGAAAAGACATTTTGAATATGAATTCGAAATAGAAAAAATAAATTCATTTAATGTACACAAACAATGGGCTGTGTACAAAGTTATGTGAACAGAAGACCACTAACCCAGTAAGTCCTACCCACTTCACCCTGATAGAAATCCCAACTTCTAAGGCATCTACTGGGAACACTGAGGGAAGAACTGGAACAAACTGGGCAGATGCAGCTTAGAAGAATTCTTCCTTCCCAATTTCCCTCCTTCTACTGAAGCCAAAGTCTTTCCTAAAGATCACATAGTGATTGGATTCATCAAATCCTACATGATGCTTTCAGAACCCAAGAGGGGCAAAGCAAAATAGCTCTCCCACAAAGAACATGGACTCAGGGTCATCAGGTGACCTATTACTGGAAATATCATTAACTGAACCTCAATACCTCTCCATGCAATGCATACGCTCTACAAATTAGCTTTGGCCATTCCCTAAATGGGAGTTAAAATGGGAGAAATGCCCCTTTGTGCAACTTCCATAATCTCTATTCTACCATTCTCTTCCACCATTAGAACCAGTTGCTACATTTGCTATTTAGACAGGTCCATTATTAGGAAAGGCATAACTATCTGGTTCAAGATAATTTGATCCAAGGAGTTTCTACATATATCAAAAATTAAATGCCAACTACTATATGTATTCAAGGGCCAATCTGATAGCAGAATTTAGAACCAAACTATATTTTATTTTCACAAAACTTATCTGATTGAGTCAGAGAATGTAACATATTCTGTGCTTACAATAACAATACTGGGTCTGGAAGAAATGGTGCTTATCTGTAGGAGGTTTTTCTTTTTACCTACTGTGCAGAAGTCATTGATACTATGTATGTGTTTAACTGTTAGAGTATATATTTGTGTTTGTAACAGTAGCTAAAACTAGAGTTATCTGGTTTGAATCCACAGTGAGCGTTGCCAAGGAGACCAGGCAGGCTAGCTCAGGAGAGTGAGAAGTGGGCGGAGCCAAGCAAAAAAAGTTATGTGTGTCTTTGGAAAAAGGGGCAGAGTGTGTGAGTGAGTGTGGAGGCTTGAAAAGCCTGGGAGAGAGGTGTGTGTGAGCAGCTGGAGGTTTTTCAGTCTAGAAGGGCTGAAGAGAAAAACCTGGCCAGTTTCTTTAGTCAAGGAACACTAAAGGAAGCTTGTTAAGATCCCTAGTCAAGGAAGGACTAGAGATCAGAGATTTGATCAAGGAAAGATCAAATTAGAAGGCTATTCATAGTAGGAAACATTGTTCACTAAAGAGCTTCACCTCAGTAAAAGTTAGCCACGAGCTGTGTTATTTGGAAGAGTGGACTGTATTACAAACCAAGTGATATTCAAAGTTCTATAAGTTATTTAACAGCCTGCAACCATACGCTTTGTACACAATAAACTTGTTATCTTTTGTTGAAGACCGTCTCATCTCAATTAATCTGCGTCTGTAAAGCCAGATCTCATCGGTGGTACCTCAAATACCTCACGTTGGTGGCAGTTACCTTAATTTACAAGTAATAATTGGCCTCCTCTATAATATATTCTTATCAACAATTGAGGCCTGAGATTAATTCCCTCCATAATCATCCACACCTGTACAATTGGTTCGCGCATCACTGTACACCTACCATTTTTCTAAGGTCTCTAGGAAAAGTGTTATTTTTCAATCTACTATCTTAAAAATGTGATTTGTGCCACTCTGATCCAGTGCAAAACTTTGTTCCCCCTTGCCTTCATTTTCTTGGTCAATGATACTGCAAAGCGATGTGATGAAGAAGGGTGCTCTGCATCCCATAGATTTGCACTACTCTGAACCGGAAGAAAGCAGAGAGGCAAAGTGTCCTGCACTGATTTCAGCACTATCTTTAATGGTAAAGGAAATTGCCACTCCATCTGCAAAACGTGTTACTTAGTTGCATTTGTATGTTTTATTTTTAAAAACCCATAGGATTATAGTAAAACAATACTATCAAACTGTCAAAGAGGCCCAGGCTATACAATTTATTTTAAGGTCTAAATAAACTGAGAATTTTCATCTTGAGACAGGTAGATATATTATGTTTATGCTGATTTTTGTTTTACCGTATAAATACAAATCTAGGGGAAATCATACAATTCTTGTGCTTCAAAACTAGTAATTTCTTCCCTCATTTTAGTGTTCTTCCCCTGTCAGGAAAGGGGATACGTCACTGGAAAACACTTAAAGTGCTTTCTTGCTCGCCCATATCTGCGAGTTTATAGAGAAAAGAAGTACTGTGGTTCTTCGATTCTAAGACATAGCCCCCCCCCCCCCCCCAATATAAGCATCTTTAAAAATGGAGTGAGTCTTATAACCGTGGGTGATATAAAGGTTTTTTTCTGTTGGCACTGAAATAAATGTGTATCTTGCACTTGACAGTGTCTTAATACAGTAATAACATAATCCAGAACACAATTCCCACAATGGTGAAATAGACAGAGTGCAGGCCTGAATTCACCTCCCCCTTTACTTCCCTTTTATTCAGTGAAAAAAACCCTCTAAGTAACACATGAGCATCACTTTCTTTTCAGAATTTGGAAAACACAACAGGAGTGTGTAAACTCTCTGTTTCAGTAGTTATTTTACCCAGGTAAACTAAGTAAAAAGGAGCATTGTCAGAGAAAAACAGGCCACCTGAGAAAGATTTGTTGATATAAACAAATTACTTGGAATCTTTCTCAATGTAACAGTATTTATTTATTTATTTACTTACTTTATTTATACCCTGCCTTTCTCACCTCACAGGGGACTCAAAGCGGCTTACAAACGCCAGCAGAAATTAAATGCCGCATCATAAAACAATAAAACAAGTCATATCAAACTATTAAACAATTAAAACATATAAATATAAACAGTTAAAATAGTATCCTCTAATTAAAATACAGATATACAAGCAAACAAAAACATGCCCACTTACCTGAGTTGCTACATTTAACAAAGCTAACCGGCCATTTTTTGAAATAGTAAAAGACATAATTGGATGATCTTCTTGTACTCTGAAAATAAAAACAATGTTAGAGCTAGAACTCTAAATCAATTTTAACATTTCTACACAATTTAACTGTAGTCTCAGCATATTATTATTATTACTATTATTATGAACTTCAGAAACAGAAGCTCTTAATAATGTCTATAAAATCTGTCTTTGTAGGACTATTTTGAGAAAAAAACACATTTTAAAACTGGCAATATTATACCATCTAACCCTGATTGTTTGGCAAACTCTACAATAAGATTATAGTGTTTTTTTGGAAGCAGAATATTGAGAAATAATTACATGTTTCTGTCTGTAAGGTCCTCAAAGTTATAGCCTCGAATCCGCTGGTGTGTGTCTGACGCCAAAACAGTCTTCCCGTCGCTCAAGCACCACAGGCATTGCACTCTCACTCCCTCCCAGGAGTCAAGGAGATTACCATCTAAATCCTAGACAAGAAATAAATGAATTCAATAATGAGAAAAGCAATGCTCATTCGGAGCAACTAGCAAAATTGAAAGCATTATAATTCCCCTTATGCTTTAAAGCCTTTTAGCTCGTGTCAATTTCATTTCTTTCTTATACATTGTGTGTGCATGTGTACTCACATGCACCAACTACAGATAACAATGTATGAATTTGCCGATTGACATTTTAGTAAGTGGGACATTTACAACCTCTCTCTCCAATATTAGCTGTACCCTTTGTTATCTCTAGACAGCTTCTCAGAGGAAAAATATATATATAAACAATATTCTAGTGAAGATTATCTATGGCTTTTCATACAGACCTCATTATCAACTATGACGGTCTCAAGTGCCAGAGACTGATAAAATGTACCATAAAGCACTACAGCAGACTTACACACTGGTAGAACTGTCCACGCTGCCCCCCTGTGACAAAACGTTTTCCATCTGGATTCCAAGCCACACTTGTTAGACTGTCTTCATGAGACTGACTCATTTTTGTTCTCAGCTCTCCTGTCTGAAAATGAAGTTACATGGAATCTTTAAATACACAATCAATCTGTGTGTTATCCCTGAGCTAAGCAAAACCTTCTCCTACGGAACATTCTCCTCTGCCCTTTTCCTCTTCAGTTCTCCATGTTGCTCAAAAGGCAATTCCAACCAGAAGCTCCCAGCCTTCCACGGATGGCTTTAGGAATGATGTGGAAGGAAGTGAGAATTATTACTCTCTTGGTCTTGCTAGTCAACCAGCAGAATGCCAGTATTCAATAAGGTTCACCACTTAAAAACAAAACCTTTCTAATTTTATTTAAAAATGTTTTTCCTACAAAAATCAAAAATTTCCCAATAATAAGGTGACACTTAAAAATGTTTATTAAATTATAGAATTCCTTTTCAAGACAATCTTTCATCATTACATAACACAGCTCAACAATGGTTTTCAGGCCTGTTCCTAGGGATATTTGGGGCGCCAATTGCATTGAATAGGCCATCAGCTCTAGTTTCTTAGCTATGGCTATCATGGTTATCTATGGGCAAGTAGATGGAAACTGGTATTGCATCTCAAAAACTAGAGCTTAATGAAAAGAGGTGGCATTTTTGGAATCAGAAGGTCAAATATACTCAGAAACAGGTATAACATTTGAGGCACAAACATGTATTGGCCAGTGATAAGTAAATAATATCTTAGTCAGTTAAAAAGTAGAGATGGGCAGATATGGAAACCTGTGACCTTCCAAAATCTTGCAGTCCTAGTACAACAACATCTATAGGTTGTTGTTGTATTAGGACTGCAAGATTATGGAAGGTCATTCCTGTTTCTGGGAGTTCTAAAGCCAAGCTTCTTAAACTTTGGGCTATGAACCTAAATGGGGTCCCTTAAGCAAAAATAGAGGGCATGAAAACCCTGACAAGAGTAAAAGGTTTCTGAATACTCCATAGTGGATGTTTTAGACATTTACAAGAATTTGTCAGTAACAATGTACAATGTTGACAGTAGACTGCAGAAAATGCTTCAGCTTTTCTTCATAAAAAGGAAAATCAGCCTGTTTATCAAGCCTCGCGAATACTGATTTATTGCAATTAAATGTTTGATTTTATCTATTTTATATACACATATACACTTGGAATAGCATAAATATTAATCAGTTAGAAAGGGGTTGCAAGTGGAAAAAGTTTTAAAAGCCCTGATCCAAAGCACCAGTATTAGATATGAAATGTCCACTTCTCATTTTACCTATCTATAAGGAATTGAGTCATAACAGGGTGTTCCAAACACCTTAGAATACCAGACACAAGTAAGACCCCCCCCCCCCCCCAATGATTTGGGAAACTTTTTTGGGAGAAATAAATGTTAGTTTGTATGGGCCTTCAAAGGTTAAGATTACAGTCAATACACCAAGAAATTGTGCTCAGAAGCAAGCTAGATGTACTTTAAAACCAGGATGATTTGCTCTCTTTACCTCATTGATGAAACTAATTAGGCAATTAGGTATTTTGGGCTAATTGGCACTTCTTACAAAGTGAGCAAGCAGAGGACAGTGTGAAAGTTAGAACAGTTTGTATCAATAGGCAAGGTCACCCTTCTCCAGTAGTTTCCTTAGGCAGGAAACCATTTTCAGTTGTAAAAAGCACTTTTGGGGCAAAGAGAAAAGGGGGGGGGGAATGTTAAAGCAAAATAATAAAACAACATGTCAAAGAGGCTGATGTACAAAATGCAATAGTACGTAATAAATGTGATAAATCAATAAAAATTATTTTTTTTTAAAAAAAAAAGGAAAATAATGCAACTTGGGAGAACTACATGTGCTATTTTGAGTTCAGTGGAGCAAAACCAGTGTATAATATACAATAACATTTAAATGCATGCTTTTTTTTCCAAGCCAACATGGAAAGTTGTCTAGAGTTGGTGTTTTGTTTTAGAAATGCGGGACATACTTTAAAATGGGATGTGGTGGTTATATGCCTTGAAGGGATTGTTTTATCTTGGGAAAGGATTATGGGAATGCAATTTAGGCAGATGGGACTGCAATAGTAAGGTAGGTTAGATGCAGAAAAAGAAGGGAAAAGGAGCTTGACTTTTAAGAATGCAGAAACAGAATGCCTTTGAGGCAAACTGTAAATGAGTGCAAACAATTAAATTGTGCAAAACAATTGCCTCTAACTCTTAATAAACCAAAGATCTGAAGAGAAAAAAAAAGTTCCAAAATATTCTTCCCCACCAAGACCATGACTAATCTTCCCTCTGGTCTATCCTCCTGGAACTAAGGAAAAAACAGTGTGTATCTCACATGCCAGGATTAATCATCACACAAATGCATTTCTATTACTTCAAAACAGAGATTTGCTAGCATTTTCAGAACACATGCAAGGCTTTCACTTGGTCACTGCTATCTTTGTTTAAATCAAGGACAGTTTCATGCAGATGAACAGTAAGACAGAACATTTTCTTCAGTTTAAATTCCATCAATCATGTATAAAACATAGCTTTAAAATAATCAATTATTAAAATTATTAACCAAACAGAAAAGAAATTTTTGAAATGGTTCTCCATTAGCAATGTTATACATAAATTTATATCCTGTACCTATGTAGTCTCACATTAAAAAAACAAACAAAAAAAACCAACAACAACCCAAACTACTGCTCTGTTCTGACTGGGATCATTTTAAAACACACATATAAAACTATGATTGTTGCTGTTGTGTGCTTTCAAGCCATTTTCAACTTATGGCGACCATATAATGGGGTCACTGGCTTCCTGACAATTACCCAGGCTCAATTCAAGATGCAGGTTAATATCTACAAAGAAGCCCTTTACGCTTCGAGTTCATCCTATCTTTGAGACTGCATTTCTTTCTATGAACCGGTGCGGGCTTTGAGATTGGCAGGGGAGGCCCTTCTCTTGGGCCCACCACTGTTTCATGTGCAGTTGGTGGAAAGGAGAGGGGGTCTTCTTTGTAGTGGCTCCCTGGCTTTGGAACATCCTCCGAAAAGAGATTAGGTTAGCCCCCCCCCCCCCCGCTTGAATTCTTCCAGTCCAGCCTAAAAACATGGATTTTAAAACAAGCTTTTGGCCTCGAGTAAGCTGAAACAGGCCTATATGAGGTTGACACTCTAGCACTTTAGTTGTGGATTGATGGCAGCTAGTTTTTAACTACAGATAGCCTGTGTTTTCAAATTGTGTTGTTTTATTTTATTTTATGTGTTGATAGTGGTTGTTTTTTATAATTTTATGTGATATTGTTTTATACTCATGTATCGTTTATGTTATATACTGCATTTGGAATGCCCTGTAAGCTGCCCGAGTTCCTTTTGGGAGCTGGTGGCAGAATATGAATGAAGTTGTTTTATTATTATTATTATTATTATTATTATTATTATTATTGTTTTCTTAGATATATGTTCAGAGGTGGTGTGCTTTGAAAGAATGTCACACCCAAGATCAGCCTGTTGGTTTCAATTGCTAAGCAGGGATTTAAACCCTTGGTCTCAGAGTAATAGACCACCACTCTAAACAATGCAGCATGCCAGCTCTAGTTTTGTAATATGGTTTATTTATGTATTTACTAGCTTGGGGACCCGGCGGTGCCCGCGTTATTTTAGAAGGCACTGTTTGTTTTGTGAAGTTTGGTAATATCAGTTTGGTAATGTGTAATGCTATTTATTAGGGGGGGAAAGTCTTTTTGTTTTTTAATTAATGTTCCCATTAGAAAATGCATAAGGATGTGGGTGAACTACAATTTCCAGAATTGTGGGTCAGTCATTCCCAAACCCTGCCATTACTTAAAGTTGGCCATGTTGGATCTGTGTGCCAAGTGTGGTCCAGATCCGGCAGCAGCTGAGTTCAGTGATATCTAGGTAAGGGTGAACTACAACTCCCAGATTCCCAGGGCAATCACCCACAAGCTCAGCCAGTATGCAAAATTGGCCATGTTGGTTCTGTGTGCCAAGTTTGGTCCCAATCCATTGTTGGCTGAGTTCACTGTTCTCTAGATAAGGGTGAACTACAACTCTCAGGTAATCACCCCTAAACTCTGCAAGTATGTACAATTGCCCATGGTGGGTCTGTGTGCCAAGTGAGTTCCAGGTCCATCATTGGTGCAGTTCAGAGTGCTCTTAGATTGCAGGTGAACTATGCATCCCAGTCCCTACAACTCCTATAAATCATTGTGGATTCTCTCCAAACCTCTCCAGTATGTTCAGTTACTGATCAATTCCTCTGCTGTGTGCCAAAGGAAAGGGTTGGAATGGGATAAGGGAGAAGCAGTGGGTGGGGTCATGCAAATGAAGAGAGAAAGGAACACTGGGATGTGCTTGCTATAACCTGCAATGTCCTTCGAGAGAGTGACTTGCTGTCTTCTCAGCACTGGAAACAATAGCCTATTTGTGGAGGCTGGAGGCTGTCTGTGTGAACAGACACCTGTGCCACATACAGATTTTCACTTTTATTATGTGTATAGATTTATGCTGCCTTGACAAAATCTAACCAACAGAACGACAAAATGATATAGGTGGTGAAAAAAATTGAATCTTGAAACAAACACTAATGTGGTTTCTATCCCCCATGTACTGTCTTCCATACAACATGCTCTTTTAAGTCCTAGAGAAGTCTTTTGTTAAAGCACGGGAAGATCTTTTTAAAGTTATAAAGTTCAGTAAAAGTCCCCTAGGTCTAAAAATAGTCCAGAAATCCAAAAACATGGTATAGCTTACCCCTAGATAGGGCATCCCACGAGGAGGGGGTTTGTGGGGGCATGTCTATATTTCTCCCCAAAATGGCAGCAGAGGTCTATTGGAAGCCTAAAAAAATACACTTTAGTGCCACATGTGGCTCACAGTCTTCCAATCAAAATTCCCTGTTCCAACTGCTGTGACTACACTACAGTACAAAGACAGATCCACACTGGATTTTAATACTAGCAATTCTTACTTGTACATTCCAGAGCCAAAGCTCAGAACAGTCATCTGGGCCACAGGCAACAAGGTAGCTGTCATCAGGACTCCAAGCAATGTAGGAAACACCATATGCATGGCCTTCCAGCGTCTTAAGCAGTTTTAGCTGGTGCGTATCCTTCAAAAAAGAAAATATTAAAAATCTGGTTACCTGTCTCATTTCCACGAAGTTTAAGGCATTTCTTTTGAAGCCTAATCTCACCCATAATCTCTCTGAAAAATAAATCAAAGACTAGAATTTGGGAACTTGTTTTCAGTTCTACTTATTTTGACATTAGACACAATTTCACTTTATGCCTATCTGCCAAAACAAGTAGACTGAGAAAGGCTACATTGGGGAAAACAGAGAAAGAGGTGAGCTGGAAGCCATAGAAAGATATTGGAACTGGCTTGCTATTAAAGTCCAACAACCTTCTGTGAAACAGACTTTGAAGCAAAATGTTTTGAAAGAGATGGAATCAGATATATACCACACATTCTAATTGTTGCAACAATTCAAATTTTCCCTACAAAAATTAATACTGAAAATCACACATTTACAGAAAACACATTGGATTTAAAAAAATAATGTCTCTTTGTTTTTATAATATATCATTACTTGCTACATGGTAAAACTAGGCATTAATAGAAAGCACCAATTGTGTTATGGAATACAGAGGCAGTATTATGAAAGAGGATGGGAAACTGACTTCTGAATATCTAAAGGTTGTCAGAAAGAATAGATGGAAAAATGAACAAATGTACACTCATCAAGAATGAAACACTCAGTATTTAAAATGCTGTTATGTTCTTTCTAATATATGGAGACCCTAAGGCAGTGGTTCCCAACCTGTGGGTCACGAGACGTAAAATAAGGTCCATAGATCTAGATTATTTAATATGGTTTTCTGTGGGTGAGCAGATGGAGACTACTGGATGGCACATATTCTGCATCAGAAACTAGAGCTGATGTGTTCTATCAAATGCAGTTGTCTGAATCAGCACCCTAAATAACCAAATCAAATCTAAGGTTGACCAAAAACTGATTTGTAAGCCTTTTGGTTTTAATGTTGGAGAATGGTCCATGGTCAAAAAAAGGTTGGGAATCACTGCCCTAAGGTGACCCTATTATGAGCTTTTCTTAGCAAGCGTTCTTCAGCACTGGTTTGTCTTTGCCTTCTTCTGAGCTTGAGGAACTGTCACTTGTCCAAGGTTACCCGGTGCTTTCCCATGACCAAGCAGGAAATTGAACCCTGGTCTCCAGAATCACAGCCCAACATTCAAGTCACTACATCATGCTTACAAGATAGCAATTATTCTGAAATGGAATCGACTGTCAAGAAAAAAGGAATTATGATAAAAAGTAATAAGAAGGCTAAAACTAGATAAAAACTAGTAAGAAAAAAATAACAATTCAAAGCTTGTGAGATCAACTGTCCGCCAACCAGAGGAAAGCACAAAAAGAAAAGCATTTAAAATGTCGTTGTGTTACTGCTATTGTTTATTGTTTGTTATGAGTTTTATTTTATTGTCTGTATTAATTGTTGTTATTGCTTTTATCATTGATGTATTATGGGCTTGGCCTCATGTAAGCCGCACCGAGTCCCTCGGGAGATGGTAGAGGGGTATAAATAAAGATTATTATTATTATTATTATTATTATTATTATTAAAATGAAAGAACGAAATGCCTCAGAGCACATTCTGAGCCTAGGAATATGTTTTCAATATTTGAATAACAGAACTAAGATCTCATTTCTTTCATACAAGGTTCGTCTCCTATTTATCCCAAGCTTTGTTCAATTTGACATCTGAATTTAAGTAGACAAAATCATATCATTAGCAATGCAGTTAAATGGTTAAGAATTGTACAACAAGCTACTCCCAAGTAAGCCAAATAGCCTATAAGATTTTACACAAGTTGTTCAAAATGTTTTTTCTACCTCTGACTTCAGCGATGTATCTCTGTAGTTGAACATAATTTCTCACTTATTTTCTATCATAAATATAAAAAATAACAAAACTATGAAAAGTAAAATGGAAAGGAAGCCATATTACAGATGAAGAGCAACTTTTTCCATGAAGGAGAAATCTCTTCCCCATTATCCCAATCCCCAACTTAAAATTACAAAATGTCTAATAAAGATTATCCCCAAATATAACCAACATTATTTTAAAAATAATATTATCCCTTAAACTAGTGGTTCTCAACCTGTGGGTCCCCTTATGTTTTGCCCTTCAACTGCCAAAAATCCTAACTGCTGGTAAATTGGCTGGGATTTCTGGAAGTTGTAGGCCAAAGTACCGGGGGGGGGGGGGGGGGGGGGGGGGGGGAGAGGGCAGAGGTTGAGAACAACTGCCTTAAATGTTCAGAATATTGATTGAACAAATGAATGAAAGAATAAGTCTGCATGGGTGGAAGGAGAAATACACCATGGGATGTATGAAAACATGGAGCTAAAAAAAAGAGTTCAAAGCTTAGGACTGATGTGCCTAAAGTGAAAGAGATATATTTAAATCACACTTACTGGATCAACCTGCCATATAATAACAGTTGTATCCTTGGAACCTGTTGCTAGTTTAGTGCCGTCATTGGAAAATTTACAGAACCACACTTCATTGCAGTGCTCTGTAAGTATCTGCTGTGTATAACATGGGAACTGTTTCCTAAAAATACAAGCACAGAAATATGATAAAATCATAATTATTCTACTTGAACCAGCAGAGATATCTATGATGGTCGCATTCACATGAGGCAAGTCAACAAAAAAGAAATGGAGGAATTCTCAATCAAGTTCCTCATTTCTAGATTCTAATGTTTTAAATCTTTTTTTTTCACTTAAAAATATGCCTCTCTGGATACTAGTAGGTTTTTTTTTTGGTATCTCTTATTAACTATATGTAAGCCACTAAAGAAAATCTTAGGATGAATAAAAATGCTAGAAATAAACAAATAATTCTCAATTTATATCACTCTTCTCTTCCAAAATGTTACAGATGCTTTTGCAAGTGGAGAATCTATGAGAGATAATATGTGGCTTACAAGAGCACTTTGCCTGGATGAACCACTGTATAAATGCTTTATTTCCCTCTTCACCTTGTTTGTTCTAGTATTTCTAAATTTATCATTCAAGTACTTCCCAACTGCTACTTACTCAAATTCAAAAAACGCTATGCAAATCACTTGAAATAGTAACTGTTTAAGGGAATGTTGTTGCATTTGTAATTACTGCTATTGTTCTTTCAAATTAAGAGGTTCTCTTACCTACTGCAAACGTGGTCTATGAGAAGTGATACAGAATCTAGATTATTATCTAGTTTGGTATTGTGATAGAGGCACCGGTCCCGTTGTAGCTCTACAGCCTGGCGAAGTAGATTCTGCAGACGCCTTGGAGGGAGCATCACTGATGGTGGTAGGTAAGCTTCGATAAATGAAAAAGGTGTTTCAGTGCAGTCATTTAAGTCTAACCTTCATTCAGCTTAATTAAATAACAGTGTTTAGGAAATCAAGTGATCTTATATTGGACTTGATCGCCTCTAATATGAGCCAACAAATTATCAGTAACCCATAAAAACATCTCGTGAGGACCTTTGACCACTATGCAAAGAGGCACAATATAATTAGAAAATGTTCATTTTACAACTAAGGCTTGTATTCAGCAAAGACAGTCTCAGGTTACTTTATTAAGTGTAAACCAGTGGTTCCCAACCTTTGGACCTCCAGGTGTTTTGGACTTCAGCTCCCACAGTTCCTAACAGCTGGTAAGCCAGTTGGGATTTCTGGGAGTTGAAATCCAAAACACCTGGAGGCCCAGGTTGGGAACCACTAGTGTAAACGATAGAGGCAATATGCAGCTAACAACAGTATTTGAAATTCAGTGTTGTGCAATTGGAATCCCATCTGGAGATTTCTGTTCCTCCATGCTCGAGTCTCTGTCTGCAACCTTCTCCAAAGGTACTCTAACACTCCTCCTGAAAGAAGGAGCTGCAGTTGGGAAGATGACTTGCTCTTTCTTTCTGCCCAACAAAATCATTTTGCTGGTTCAATGGATTAATTGGATACTACATGGTAAAATCTACATTGTCTTTGTGAGGCACTTAAATCACCATTACCCAGGACCATGCTGTCATTTTGACTACTATCAATGCTTATTTGTCCTTTAAGCCAAAATATGGGAGACATAAGGAGAGCGGACATTGTATAGCCTCTGGAAAACTAAGGGTATTCTTACTCTGCAGCTTGTCCAAAAGTTTAGATCTGGAAGTTGTTCCTTTCCCTTCCCATTCTGCTTTTGCACGGAGGTCTTCTGCGTGACTACACATCAGATATCTGCGGAAATTGTAAAGAAACACCAGAATTCCAGTCCTTTAACAACATTTGGAACAAAGAGCTTTCACACATTCTTCTCTAGTACAAGAAAGGGCTTAGGAGAGAAATTATTAGCATAGAATTTTAAAGTCTTTATGTTAGTAACACCTGTTTACTCTGTTTAATAAAAATCCCATGCAACTGTTTTTCAGGAACATCCATGTCCAATTAACTACCTGAAGAGGCTGATGAATAACACAAACCATGTGGAGTTCAAAAAGTAAGCCATAATAATTCAAGGACATGGTATTACAAAGGGTTTTTTTTTTAAGTATCTGACATTCTGTATTGATTAATTGGCAAATTAAATTCACGTGGTACAAATTATAATTCTGATCTGCAGATTCTATAGTGCCACAGCTGTTTTCTTGAATTTAACTGACAAATTTCAGTACCTAATAGTTTCAGAATACTAATGATTTATTAGCAAAATAACCATTATTTAACTAAAATGGCAGGTTCAATTAAACAAAACAAATCACTCCCACACATTAAAAACTGAGTATGCCAATGACTCAGGTGCGGCTCATACTTCAACAATCATGTGCAATGATTATTGGAATGGCCTGGATTATGACTGCGGATAGCATGGTTAATAGTGAATGTAATGTTTTAAAAATGTTTTAATAGGTTTTAAATTCTATTTCAAAATGTTTATTTTAATTGTACATTGTTTTAAGGTATCAAATAGTTGCCTATATGTAAAGCCGCCCTGATGCCCCCCCCCCCAACCTTCCCGGTTGAGAAAGGCAGAGGATAAATGTGCCAAATAAATAAATAAATAAAGAGTTTTTATCTCATTCATTTTCATTTTTCAAATGACAAGGGAGTCCTGCAACAGAAATCTCTGAAGTGAAGTGCCTCTGTTCAGAGTTGCAGTCAGACATCCTATCATCCAAGAAGTTCCATTCTTTCCTCTCAGCTCCTTCTCATCCTTGCTCCAGATCTCCTCCTCTCAGGCACCTTTCTGTGTGTTTTTTTTAATCAGTTCACTAAAGGCTTCTTCTTACAATCACTGTAATTTAGAGATGATACTGTTTTGGCTATATAAGGACTGTCATTTCAAACACTAATGTGAAATGTAGCCCGTCATAGATTGCTGGATGTAACCGCTAACAGTTCTAGCCAACATAGCTACAGGTGATGAATGCTGGAAGAGGCGGTCCAACAACATCTGGAGATGTTGACCAAGAAAATGCAAGTGGTCTCAGACTAGTGGTATAATTCCTGGCCTATCAGTTCAAAATTAAGCCTCTGAGTTAAATGAAACCGAACTTCAATAATGTCTATATAGGATTGCAATGCAAAGCACTTACCCACTGAGGATGTGAATGCGCTCTGTGTTGTACTTCAGAGGTGTCAATTCACAACGCAGAACCTGAAGAGCCTCTAGAACCTTACCATCCTCCAGATACTCTAGATACTTTTGCTGCAGCAGCAAAAACTTCATCCTCTGACATGACAGAAAGCAGCAGGTCAGGTGGGGAGAAAAGGTTGACTGAAATTTCAGAAAACATTTGAGCCTAAACAAGAGAGTATACACCATTCAACTTTGCTCTCTTAGAAATAGATCTATGTATGCTTTCATAACACACAGGAATGCTGAGAACACCTCTTTTGCTGTTCACAATGCTCATTAGAAGTCATACAAATGCATGTTTCCATACGTTGATGTGTAATTGCTTTGTTGAAATTGTACCTGGTTTTTATATGTTGTACACCGCCGTGAGTCGCCCTAGGGCTGAGAAGGGCGGTCTACAAATGTAGTAAATAAATAAATAAATAAATAAATAAAATAAAACTCAAAATCACCTTTTCAGTCTTTATCTGAAGGTATTCTTAGTACAGAACGTAGTGGCTTGTCACTTTGTGAGGTCTCATGCATATTGATATCCCGTACTGAAAATGCTAAACTGGCTGCTAATTATTATCAATATATGTTCAATCTTCTACTTCTGATTATTTATAAGACTGCCCTGGTAATTATGTTCTGAGATGCTTATTTGTCATGCTACAGCTTAATAAAGTGTGCTTGGCTATAGTGTTGAGGATACCTTCTCTACTAAAGATCTTCTCAGAGATTTTGCAAGCTCACAGTATAGCTTATTTCATCATATGAGCTGAAGACCAACCTGTTGACCTTGTTTTATTTTCCTAATTTCTAACCTGTCAGATACCCTTGATAATATTAATGAAATATGCATGAATTTTACCATTATACATTATTTTATAAATTCATTTTATTGTATTTTGTTTATAAATGCAAAAAATTTAATTGTTAAAATGCAAATTATTTTTTTAAACTCTAGACTTTAAATAGATAATAAATATCCCAATAAGCCTGCTTAAGGCAAATATCTTCCACAAAGCAGCTTAAAATATAATCAAGTTAACACAAAACAAATTTATAATAGTGCAGTTATGACATTAAAAACATGCCTGAAATACCAACCTAGGCGCATTATGTTTTTAAAATGTTAAAATCAATCACTATAATAGGAATAGGAATCTATCAATTAAATATGCCACTTCAGAGAAATATTTTAGAGATAATGATAATACTGAACACAGCCTATCATAATCATTACAAAAATTAACAACATTTACACAGAACAGCTAGGTCATCCAGCATGGTCAATAAAAACAGACACTGGAACTTGCCAAAACATAATACAGGTACATGCAGGTTAAGTATACACTTTCCCATCTGGTTTCCAAGAAATGCAAAGTCTATTAGCTCTCACATTTAGAAATCACTTAGCAACAACGTTCATGAAAAACAACATGGGTGATCACTGACTGGTGAATTGATCTTGAAACATATTCTTAATAGCCGTGACCAAATACTAACATGTTTGAAAATGTAAGATAAGGGAGAAAAGGAAGACAATATTCAGCAATGGTTGTTGAAAGTCAAGGGGCAGTAATGTGACATTAACAACACAACACTATAGCTGTATGGCGCATTATCAAGTAGCAGGTAAACACAAATTCCAGTATCCAAATGTATTTAGTGGTTAATGTATAGCATTATGGAGACATGCAGTCGTCAAGGTTGTTTTTGATGTCCCCATTACCCCATTAGTGTAAATTTTCTTTCCTGGAGGCCTACAGGGACAACAATTCTCCCTTCAAAAAGCACATAGGATATAGTTTTTCAAAACTAGAAATTGATTTTGTTTTGGGTTGTTGTAGGTTTTTTCGGGCTATATGGCCATGTTCTAGAGGCATTCTCTCCTGACGTTTCGCCTGCATCTATGGCATGCATCCTCAGAGGTAGTGAGGATGCTTGCCATAGATGAGGATGCTTGCCATAAATGCAGGCGAAATGTCAGGAGAGAATGCCTCTAGAACATGGCCATATAGCTTGAAAAAACCCTATAACAACCCAGTGATTCCGGCCATGAAAGCCTTCAACAATACATTGATTTTGTTTTGGGCTGTTTTTGGCAATCCATAAAGGTTCTAGATAACTCCAGGGACAGAAAACTGGTCCTTAACTGGTCCTTAGAGGTTGTTCACCTCAGGTTTAAATGGAAGGAAAACTAATGAAAGGGGGGGGGAGAGTGAATTAGGAAAATATGAGGCACAAGGAAATATACGTAAACATAGTGACATATTTAATTCTCATCTTCAGTGAAAAGGACTTAATATTTGCATATGGCATTCCCATTTTGGAATAATTATTTACAAATACAATAAAAAGTTTTGTGGCATCTTAAAAGTTATCAAATTCTATTTTGCATACATTTTTGTGGATGATCGCTCACTCCATTAGATGCAATGAGATGTTTACATCAAAGGCAATCTCAAATAAAATGTGGTAATCTTGGTTATTTTTCTTGCAGCAGACTAACATGTCTACTCCCTAGAAATATTTTACAAAGAGTTTCTTCGTTTTATTTGCAGTGCTATGATGACACCACAGTTGCTATTGCAACATGAGATCACAAACTTTGTTAAGTCAGAATTGAATTAGAAACAAAAATGCAATTTGTTGATGTTCTGAGTTTTCAAAGCAAACATCTGCATCCCATTAGTAATTCAGTTTTCAATACAAGATACTGTCCTCTATTTCTACTAGAAATCTACTAACCTACAATACCTCCAGATTCTAAAAAATTGCATAATTCATCACAGCTAACTTCTCCAACTTACGTACTGGTGACACATAAACCGTAACCAACAGCCTTTCAACGCCCACAGTGTTTACATTGTGTCTCTTGGTGATGAAACTGAACAACTTTATGTAACAGTTTTTTTTTCTCCCAAGTTACTGACTCAATAGAAACAAAAAGGCATCGCCTTACATACTTTGCTCTAGCAAAGCAAAGAAGAGAACAACCTATTTCTGCTAGCTATAGTTTTAAACATACCATGCTGACCAAATGGACTGTGGTACGTTACTATCCAGAATCAGTTTGTTCCAAGAACAGAAAGAGGCCTTCCGTTTATGAAAGGACCAGCAATCTAATAGAAATTGCTGCTTGTGGAAAGCGCAGGGAGTCTAACTCTCCTAATTTATTTTCCATTACTCCAACAACCACACTGTTCTTGAAGTTCCACTAAACCTCTTCATCACATCTACGGTTTGGGGAGAGGTCTTCTCCTTTTGTGAGTCGAACTATTCAATATGAACAACCGAATATCCATAGCAGCTGACTATGATTTCAAAACTATTTTCAGACATCTCTCTGTTCCCATGTCAGGACTAGAAGACATTGCATATGGTGTAAGTTTTTGAAGCTATAGAGCTGGGGTTTTGTCAGACAAAACTCATGCACATGCACTATCAAAAAAACAAATCACAGATATCACAACCAAGGAGACACCTACTTCTGAATATACAGAATTAAAGAATGAAAACACATGCACACAATCTCTTGCCACTGAATAATCAGGACTTTCCACAACTTTGGAATCAAGAACAGCATCTTCTAAATCTGGCAGGAGACTTTGCCAGGTCAGGTGGTGGAGGGGGAATGGCACCATAGCAATCAGGCTTCACATTCCCTCTTTTCATATCAGGCTCATAAGAAAATCATCTATCTATCTATTATCTATATACCTAATAAAAGTGAAAATATGTAATACTTATATGTGTATGTGGCTGGGGTGTCCACTTCCACAATCAGGTCCTCGCTTCCACAAGCAGCTTTAACCCACAGCACTGAGGAGCCACCAAAAGCCCTTCCTCCAATGACATTTCAGGTCATGTAGCCCAACCCCCGCCAATGTCCTCCCCCAAACACCATGCTGCCCACTACCCAAGGAATGCTTTCACTCAGGGACAATTTCATCCTAGATTTTAAGTGTTTCCTTCACCACAGAGACATCCCAGTGTTTCTTACTCTCTCCACTGGCGTGGAATTTGCACAATCCCACCAACTGCTTCTCAATTCACCCTTTCCTAGTCTTTTCAACTCTGTATGCACAACAAGCAGAACAGAACTAATCATCAAATAAACATACTGGAGGCGTTTGGTGGATTGACTCCTCCTGATGGAAGTTATAGTTCACCCTGCATCAAGTCAGAGCACTGTGACCCCCACTGACAATGGACCTGGACCAAATCTAGCACACAGAACCCCCATGACCAAAGAAAAATACTGGAAAGGTTTGGGGGGAGTTCACCTTGATTTATAGCCCTTGTAGGTACTGGAATTTATAGTTCACCTGCAATCAAAAAGTGCTCTAGACCATAACCAATTGAAAATACTGGAGGAGTTTGGATGGAACTGTCCTTCATTTCTGGAAGTTGTAGTTCACTTACAAGAGATACTGTGATCACCAATGATAACGGATCTAGACCACACTTGGCACGCAGAACTCCTATGACCAACTGAATCTACTGGAGGGCTTTGAAGGGACTAACCCACCATGGTGGGAGCTGTAGTTTATCCTCCAGCCAGAGATTCCACTGAACCCCACCAATGATGCATCTAGAGCAAACTTGCTGAACATGACAATCTTTAAACACGGATGGAGTTTCAGTGGGTTAACCTGGCATGCTGTGAGTTGTAGTTCACCTATAACCTTATGCATTTTGTAAAATTTTTAAAAATGACTTTTTAAAATAACCCAGGCAATGCCGGGTACCCAAGTTAGTGTTGTTATAAAACAACCTGCACTGGTGTTACATGACTGAAACAACAGCCAGACCAGTGTCCATAAATAAAGCAGATTGGGGAAGTGAGCATATTTAGACTAAACACAGGCTGGATAAAATTCAGTTTTTAAGAATCATAATGCAGACATGATAAGAGTCTTTGGTGCTGATAGCATAAACCATCACATCAACTTATGGCAACTCACCGATAATGCAATCTTATTTTTCCCTACTGAATTCAATATTTTAAGGGTGTACACTTTCATATTAATTCAAAATTAAATTCAATGATTTCTTTTGTGGAAGAAGAACCTATTCCAGTTGGAAAAGAGAATGGATTTAGA